GACCAAGGTTTTAGTTTCAGGGTTTAGGGCAAGGGTTTTGGCTTTTTTGGGTTTTGGGTTAGGGTTTACGGGTGCAGGGCTTGGGGTTTAGTGTGCTTCTCGGAAGAATCTCTGGCAGGCTTGAGACGTGTTCCTGTTCCGGTACGGAGATTGCTAATTTGATGGAAGTCGAGGGACAGAAGCCGCAAATATGGGTGCTTTGCCAAGTCACGGGTTACAATATGTCACAAATTTTTCATGTTGACGTCCTCGATGCTAGGAAGGCGATTGTTAGAGCGCTCCAAATGAATCGAATCTTCAACTAGAACTCAGTCATCAATGCCTTCCACACAAGCAGTCACTGCCCTACCAAATTTGAATGCCTGTAGCAGATAGCTTCCTCAAATTTAGCTGCAAATCAGCCTTTTGAAGTATGTTAGGTGCGTCGATGGACCAAACGACAGCGTTGGGTCTTTGGACGGACTGACTAATGATGACCTTGAATTGAGGCCATTCTGGTGTAGCTCCTTGATTTGGGGAAAATTACCCAAGCACTTCTTGCGATCTCCAAGACTGCTGAGTGTGACGGAATTGTGCAAGTCCGGAACACCAATAACAAGTCAAAGCCTCTGCGCGCGGGATTTCTCAATGTGCAAGGAAAAGCTGCCGGAAGTGAGATCCTTCAGGATGTGCTTGAACAACCTAGAAACCGATCCTTCAGCATTCACTTGAGCATCATGCTAACTACCGAAGCAACGCTGCCTATGCGTCGCGCAGGTCGACGACAGTCGGAGGAACAAGCAGGAGGGAGGTTGGACGACCGGCCCGTTGGGGTCATACGGGTACACGGGCCAGCTGTGCTTTGGATCAAAAATCGGATGACGTTATGGGCTGGGTCTTTGACATTACCGTTACATACTTGACGTGCTTCGACAGTGTCTCAGCACCAGAACGCGCTTCTGCGCTAAAATCAGAAAAAGACATGTACGATTGATTTTGGTTGAGCAACCATCCATTTGTTAGGTTTGAAAAATTGATTTGGATAACACTTTTGAAGTAAAAACTTCCTGGTCGGCGGACTCCGCTGGGATAACTTGGACAGGTGGTGACATCCACATTTCACATCCCACTTAGCTGACCATCTTTGTTGATGTACTGGTGGCGTTTGAGCTCCATTTTGTATGTCACTCGGAGTTGTAGCGTTGACGTATGGCAAGAGTATACTCAGCTGGAAAACGCTTTGAGGGGTTGCCTCGCTACCTTAACTTGCCGACATGATGGTTTGAACAACCAAAAAACCCATGAGTTTGTTCTTCTTGACATGGACATGCAATATTTTGCGTGACCAGCGATGTGGTTTGCTCTAAAAAGTCACAGTTAGACGGCCCAGATGAAGGATTTTGAAGTGCGCCCGCAGTTTTTGATTCGTTGTTTCGGTTTAGCATACGACCGCAAAAAGAGTTGTGGATTGATAGCACATTTGGCCGAAACAAAACCACCTTTGTTTGCAGGGGTGGTGCTCACATCAGTTGTTCGACCCCCAAATGCTTTTTGAATGCGAGCAAATGACAGCAATGTCACTTGATCAAGACATGCGCCTGCTTTGATGTTGTTTAAAGTACATGTGCGGACTCAGGCGCGTCTTGCCCACACACCCAGCTTCACTGCCACATTGCACTGTAAGACTAGTGGTTCGCGCCAGTGATCTCTTGGGTATTTACTTTGTGCATTGGCACAATGCTCTGACGGCGCCTCTATTTGTGCATATCCTCCCATGTAACATGAACTTATGTGCTGTTGATAGCGCGGAACCGGACGAATGAAGTTCAAAAGGGGGTGCAATGTTGCCAAATCACGCGCATCTGGATCGCAACCCCCATGATCAAAAAAGCTGGTTCAAATTCTGGTTTACGCAATAAAGGTCAAGATGCCGGCTTCTGGTTTCAGGGAGTTTGAGTTTCGAGTTTCAGACGCCAGTGGCATTTTAAGACACTTGTGAGCCCACTGAGCTTTTTTCAGCATGCCATGGCGCGACTTTGTCCTTGAAGCTTCTGCAAGTGCATCAACGATGAGGCAACAACAAACTGTCAGCATGTTCGTACTGCCACAACTCACTTCGGGTACTTGCACCATGCAGCATGCATTGACAAACAACCGCTGACAACTCCGCACATGTTAGCTCCAAGCGTTGTTGGTATCGGTAGGCTTCATCACCATGATGTGAGTAGCAGACATCGGGCGCGAACGCGAGTGTTGTTTTTCACAGGCCGGACTGTAAAGCTACATCTTGCCCCTTTTGGAATGGAGTGTTTGGTGCGTGGTGCAGAACACGTGTTACAGGTTCGGTTTCTTGACAAGTGCATGGGCTGTGCTGGGTCGGCCGGGTGCTTGGTACGATTCAATGGCGAGTTACAAGACAATGCCAAATTCCAACAATGTCGTCGCAGAGGTCTCCAAACAATCCCTTCATGATGAATTGGAGGCCTCGATGAACAGATCTTCTCACTTGAGACGTGCGTTTGCTTCCAACTTCGGGTTGCTATTTGACAAAGCTTGGCACATATGGTGCTGCTTCATGTGTTTGGACGTTCATGTGCCAACTAGGCGACGGAACGCGAGCTGGAGACAGAGCGTCGAAGGCTCCAGGCATGTCACACATTTGGTACGAGATTTTGTTGGTTGCTTTTCTTGAAAGCTTTCCATGATTCAGGAGAAAGACTTGCAGATCGCCAGCGTGTCGGAATGTTTGAGCCTGTGTCTGGGGGAGTTTGTCAGCGTCACTCATGACTGTACGATGCTCGAGGTTTGCAACGACAATTGCTGGGTTCGGAACAGGCCGTTTGTGCGGGTTTGAGTACAACGTGAGCCTTGCCTGGCTTTCAAAGACGCTGCAGGAATCTGCAAAGTCTCGCTCCGTGGAAGAGTTGCGCTTGGAGCTGCAGGAGCCTTTGTTTATATATATATAGATATACATATGACGGCACTACTGTATTGTGGAGCACAGCGTTTTCTCCCAAACGTGGTTTTCACTGTCCCTCCATGGAGGATAATTATATAGATTTCTTTTTATGCATGTATAGACATGTATTCGCATTAAGGTGCAAAGATTTTGTTGTTTTTCCAGATCATTGATTTGGAAAACAACAACATCTTTGCATGTCAAGTGATGTACAAATTGCAACACTGGGTACATCTCTGTAGGTCAGCAACCGGAAGCAGAAGCCTGTGACACTTTGGTTTTGCACTGACGTGCGCCCCTTCGATGCCCATTGTGTTTCAGATTGCTGTTTGCAGGCCAAGCAAGAGCTGCATGCAGAAGCTTTGCGCAGCCAGTGGCTTGCCAAGATGACGCGGACAAAACCACATCATGTCATAAAAGGTGTGAGAGACAGGTAGCAGATAGTTACAGTGGTCTCAGTGAGAAGTCAGGCAAGCGTGTGTGTTCTTTCAGGAAGGAAAGACTTCACAAGCAACATAACGAGGACTGAGACATGACAAGCCCCCTTTTTTTGCCGAATGCAATCGTTTTTTTCTTTAACTACTTGAACTGCCGTCAGGAGTTGGAGACACTGCTCAAGGCAGGGGCAGCGTAGGTTCGAGCTCTCAGGAGATAGGATGTTGTAGTTTGCCATGGGGCTTCCTTGCCCACAGATCCCAGCTCTGACATCTTCGTTTATGGATTGACGTCTCTTGAGAACAGTATGTTAGTATGTTGCAGGCACGGGAAGAGGAGCTTTGTCGCAGTCTCGGGGATCGAGAGGAACGCGCCGAGGCGGAGGCATCGGACCTTTTCTTGGGATCCGAGTGAGCTGATGCCTTTGACGAATCTGGCTTCAAGGCCGCGAGGCGCCTTGAAGCGGAGGAAATGGTGGCTGAGCTGCAGAAAATTCTTTGGTTATTTATATGTTGTTATGTTCGCTGCTCAGAATTTAGCTGGCAGTGCTTGCAGCATGTTTGTTTGTTTTTTCAGTGTTGCGCCATCAGAGATCGTTAGTTATGTTAAGGCCAAAGCAGAAGTAGCGGCCCGACTGTCTGAGGCCAGATCATGCTCTGCATGGATGAATACATTGTTTGAGCTGTCATGCGCGAACTAGTTTGAGGATCTGAGAAGGGTGACTGTCAGCAATCCACACTGAGAAATTATGAGATAAGGCTGCGACCATGAGTCATGCCTGACTTGTGACTCGCGACGTGTTGGGACTTAGGAGTCCTGCCGGCTTTTGCTTTTGAGCTGCTTGCAAGGTCCAGGCTTCAGCTAGAAACCAAGCCCACAGGCATCGAGAAGAAGTGGAGGCAATCGAATCTGACATGTCATCTTCTGCTTGCACACCACAACAGACGCTTCAAAGGCTGCCAGAATCGAGCTGCACACGCTCAAAAGCCAGGCGATCGTTCTTGTCAACCTGCGGTTGGCTGTGGCACTGTCATGCACAAATCAGAAGTGTGAATCTGTTGGCTCAGCTATGTGTGATGGATCTGCTGCACACGACACGTCGTGTGACTCAAGGACTTGCTTTTCGTACGTTGACCAACAGCAGCAACCTTTTGCCAGTTCAAGCGGCAACACCTTGTTCGAGCAGAAACAGCTCAACCAGGAATGTGCCAAAAGAGCAATCAATGCACCATTGAGGGACGTCACGTCCCTGAAATCCAGCCTTTGGGCCGAGCAAATGCTTGCTCTAGCGCCGCTGTCTCGCCTTCGCAGCAGCCGGTTGTGTGCTTGTGCCGCGAGGCTGTGGAATGCTGCGGATAGAAGCAGTGGGTGAGAGATGTGATTCTTGAATTCTTCACATATCTGCCATATCTGCCATATCTGCAGGCTTCAGCAGCGGTCTTTTGCAAGAGAACCGCAAGATGGCTCTCAAGGTTACCCATTCGAAAGCTCGGCTTCGGGAATCTCGAAAGCTGTGTCAGCAAAGTGGAAAGCTCTTAGACTTTAGGCCAACTTGCTTTTGCAGCAAGTTGGCTTCCCAGCAAAGGCTTCAAGCGCTTCTACGAGCAAGTGCAGGAGTACAAGGCAGATGACACCAGGCAGCCACTTCGGTCCAGTGTCCTGGGTGCGGCGATGGTGTGTTGCATGCAGCTCGTGCAGCATGATCTGCTTTGAGCTTGTCGGCAGGCTGCGTGACGGCTGGGCCTGGATTGGTTTTCTGGAGCACAAGTTGGAGAAGACCAAGTACAAAGGAACGAAGACACGAAGGACGTTTGTGTGTGTGCGCCCCTCCCGACACTTGTGGGGATCCAAAAGAGCATAGACACGCAAATCCCCTTACCCTCACCGCGCACCAGGGTTGTCCGGCACTGCAGTTTCGCAGCAAATTCTTTGAGTCAGTGAAGCGTTGTGTTGTGTTGTTGTGTTGTGTTGTGTTGCGTTGCGTTGTGTTGTGTTCTGGCCAGGAAGCTACGCTACCCAAACGATGCCGAGGGCAAGGCGAAGAAAGCTGAGCAGCACAAGTATTGGGAGGATGCCAAGGTCGAATCAATTGTAGATGCAAGCTTCTGTCACAGTAACCGCTGTGAACGTCTGCTGCAAGTGTTGATGGCTGTGCAGGCCATGTGAGATCATGCTCGCGCTTTCTTGGCGACAAGCACTTGTTTAATACTCTTGAAGAGAAGATTTATCTGACTTGGCCGCTTTGGCCTCGTATTGAAGTTGGATGCAGCCACGATAGCTGCACGATTTGTCTCACACTTCCGGCGCCGTCGGCGCTGCTTAGAACCGCTGCTCAAAGACCGCGGCACCCAATGACAAAATGCAGTTCGGCGCGAAGCGAGAGCCTTGTCACATTCTTTCACACCTTGCCTTAGCGAACGTGTTTGTTGGTGGCCAGGTGAATCCACTCCGTGCTGAGCACGTCGAGGCGGCATCGCACATGGACAGTCGAATCAAGTTCGCACATGGGGGTACATGCCGAAAAGGCCGCCGAACTGCTGCGAGAGGCACGAAGGTCTCTGAGAGCAGAGCAGGAGTGCCCGGAATACTTCGGTGGATATTCGTCTGGGCTGCCTTGGCTGGGGCTTGGCGGGGACTTGGCGGGGACTTGGCGGCTGTTTATTCAAGCTGTTGTTGCAGGCCAACTTGATACTCCTATAGGCTAAATGGTTGAAGCGGAGGGCAAACTGGGTGAAAATGTTGCAGCGTGTGGCTGGCTTGCTATGTCATGTGATGTGAAGTGATGTTCGCGAGGAGGAGCGTGCATCTGGTTCCCAAGCCCAGGGCCTATTTGGGCATCAAGTACGATTGTGGTGCGCACGACCGATACAGCCAGACAGAGTATTGCTTGGAGCAGTGGCTGTTGCACTCGAGCTGTTGGCTAATACAATCTTGATCCGTTATTATTTTGATCCTGTAAGAAGAACCCTGAAAGAGCCCAGGTGGCAGCTTTGGAACAGCGCCTGGCAGAGGCTTTTGCCCTGGACTTTCTGCTTAACAGTGGCTTTTCCCGTGCTGGCTGTGGCTGTTGTTGTTGCTGTGAACGAAGTTGCCAGAGCTGCCAGGCGAGTCGTGAGTTCGAACGTGCTGAACAAAGGCATGGTGATGTGACTGCGCCACGGGCTCATACTTGTGAGACGCTAATGGCAGGTCAGTTCAAAACCAGAGGACGCACTGAAACGAAGCATCCATCACATCACCTCCAGAGGCAGCTTTCCCGTGGCCCGAACTTGAACAACTAGGAACACTTCTCACACTTTGTGGCACACACGAAAATTGGCGGCATCTACAAAAGCATTTCCGACTTTCCAATTTGACCTTCCGCTAAAATCGCAGTTGCATGGTCGCCGTTGCATGGTCAACAGCGTCAATGTCTTTGAAGAGCTTTCACTCCACGCTTCCACGCTGGCAGGGGAGCCGGGCTGTTGTGTGGTTCGTATGTTCTCGGCTGACGAGGAGTCTCTGCTCCAGTCCTCTTCTCCTCTCGCTTTCCACTCTGCTGCGCCCCTCCAAGCATGAAGTAGTAGAAGAGTAGAGTAATAGAGTGGTAGAGTTGCAGAGTAGTAGCGTAGTAGAGTAGTAGAGTAGTAGCGTAGTAGCGTAGTAGAGTAGTAGCGTAGTATCGTAGTAGCGTAGTAGAGTAGTAGAGTAGTAGAGTAGTAGAGTTGTAGAGTTGTAGAGTAGTAGAGTAGTAGAGTAGTATAGTAGGTAGTCAATTTTTTCTACGTCGCCACGGGTTCTGCCGCATTGGCCGGCCTGAACAAGGAGGTCGCCCGTCTCAAGGCTCAGGTCAAGGCGGCCGCGAAGGTAGCACGGAAGAGCAGTCAGACTCGGACCTGAAACGAATCGCGGCTGATGAACAATTGGGCAAAAACTTTAGAATTTGCTTTGTAAAGCAACAGTGCATGTTGCCTCTCGGAGCGGAGTCGTTTAGAAATCGACACTGCGCTTCTTGTTTTCAGAAAATGTTCGAGCTCGCTCCCTGTTGCCGGCTGGCTTGAGGTTCTTCAAAATCCAATTGCGAGATCTGCACGAAGAGCTCCAGACCCGCGCTGAGGATGGGATGGATGGGGTGCGTGGGGTGTACAACAATGCGAAAAGAACAGCAGTTGTGCTCCATGTTGTCCCGCATTCCATCTTCCACAGACAGGACCTACGAGAGCGTGATGCGGTTGTCCTTCGGAGAGACCAGGTCCCCAAAGCCAAGCGACGCTGCTGTGCATTGCTTTGCTTTTTCAGTGGATTTGTCAGGAGCTGGAGGAGGTCAATGGTCAGCTCAAAGACTTGCAGGCAACCGTTCGATGAAGTTTCACGATGCTGGTGGTGCTAAGAGGCACTCTTGACTTTGTGCATTGTGTTTTTTGGCAGTGCTGATGTTCTGGAGGGACTTTTTGACGAAGTGAATGGTCAGCTCCAGCATGAGCCGAAGCCTCACATGACATCAGCATGTCACAGTAGGTCTTGGCAATCTCACGAATGCGGTTTGCTCTCTTAGATGTGGTCGCATTGAGCGGCTGCAAGGTGTTGGTAGCTCAGTTGTCCGTTGTCTGCGCGTCTGTTGATTCTAAGGATGTTGAGAGGTCCAGTCATGTCCAGTCTGCTTCAGGCGGTCTCGCACTGTGCGAAGCAAGCCAAAGAGTTGGATTCCCTGCAGAACATGCTGGAGGCCCGTTGTTCCAAAGCATCGGCAATGGGCTCCGGCAACAGCAACAAGCTTTTCCCTCCCTCCACCTAATCCCCATCACGCCATGTCTAAGAAGTGTGGTGGCTCCACTTCAGCATATGGCATATGTTGTAGGCGTTTGTGTGTAAAGTTTGCATCAATCAGGAATCCCACCGCATGCTCGCACAGCTGCGAGAAACGCTTGAGAAGGCCCGAAATCTGCGGGAAAGCTTAGCAGGGCCTTGCCTTGTTGATGTGCACAGGAAAGAGCTGAGCGCATGAGGGTGGCTTCACTCTTGGAGCATGAACAGCAAAGGAGAGCTTGGCTCTTAGCAACTTGCCTGTTCATCTCGGCACCTACTCGCTTGGAGGACGCAGCTCCTGTTGGATGTGCTTAAACATTTCAAGGACAACGTGAGAAGAAGCATGCTTGTGCTTCTATATAGTGTGGGCATCTTGTTGCGAGGAGAAGCTCCAAGGCCTTACCCCTCAGATGCTGCTTAGTTGGGCTCCTAGGTGCAGTTTCTGAGAGGGATGTGCAATGATTTGCAACTTCGCTAGCTTCGTGTTGAGGTCGCCTGGGTGTATCTGATCCAAAGGCTGGAGTGTGGATAGCCGAGAATGGCCAGTTTCAAAGGGCAGTGATGTGTGCCGGAGGCATTACTGTCTAGCCCAGCGTTGTCAGCTAAGCTGCTTCGACGTAGCTGTCACAGCCCTTTCGAAAAAGTCGAAATGTTTGAAGCTGAGGCTGAACAAGTTGCTCAGCGAAGCATCCTCTGATCTGGCTTCCCCTGTGCTCAACGGGGAGCCGTGCTCCGGCACGCCGGGGATGAAGACCTCTGTGGCACCGAGCCCGTGGGGTCGGCACCTTAATCTGTGGACACAGGGGTCAGTTGATGAAAGGACAAGTTTTTGCTGCCCGTGTCCGTCCAGCGACAACACGTTTTTCATGGCGGTGGGGGTGGGGGGGGGATTACTTTCGGGGGCCGCCCAAATCCCCAACACCCTACAGTAACCGCCAGAAAGTTGGAACATGGTTTGAGGATGATGAGAGCTGGGATTCCCTTTAGTCTACCTTTTGGGGATGGGGATCCCGATGTTCCAACTTTTTGGGTTTACTTGAAGGCCCGACAACTGCCGCCGAGAGCCCAAAACCTTGTGCAATCATCTATCCCTTTGTCTTGAAAAATTCCCAAATTTACAACTAATGTCTGCTACTTTAAGCTGGACAATAGTGGAAGACGCAAGCCTTCCTGAATCTAGCAAAAGCACACTGTACCCCTCCTTCAAGTCTTTCTGCACCGGAGACCCTAACCCGAAGACCACCCAAACTCTAAACCCTAAACCCTGAATCTTAGACCCTTACCCTAAGCGCCAGCACCAAATCTCTAGACCCTCAACCCTGGGGGTGGAAAGGTAAGGCCTTGCTGTTGTGCCCTAGAATTGGGGATGTTGCTAAGGCAAAAATGGCGAAACGAACGCGAAACAACTACTTGTTTGGTCTTTTCAGGTTCCGTGCCAGGAGGCCTGCCACGCCATGGAGTGGTGCCGAGCTCAAAGTGGAGCCCTGCCGTACTGTACCGAATGTACCGACGAACTTCATTTCAAGGCAGAAATGTGCCTCATCGTGAGGTGCACTCGCCCTGGCGAGCTCCATCAGCAGCTTTCGAGGTGCAATATCTGTCGGATGTTTTCTGCCAACAGCCTGTAAGATCCTGTAAGTGTCTAGTTGCAACTTGTAGTTTGAACTAGTGTCTCTCAAGTATTGGCTGCACATTTCGTGCCTTCTTTGTCTATGGAGCATGAGAGCATGCTGTGACAATGTGGGAGAGTGTCGAGATGCCCTGGCTCCCACAAGTTCCAGGCACCTCCGGAGCCTTGTGTTCCTGCTTCAGGACCACAAGTCCAGTGCTCATCTCTTCAGAACTTTCCAGTGTCTTTCCTCAGCACACCCATGTCTGCAATGGCCGTGCTTGAGGCTGCTTCCTTCCTGCGAGGGTAATCAAGCTGCTATGCTTGCCAGTGAATCAGCTCAAGCAGGCCGACGAGTTTCACTTTGCATTGCGCCCTTAGGAGATAAAGAGATATGCCTGTATGCCGAAACAACGCATGTCGCTCGGGCAAATTAGCTCCTGTCACTCCTGACAGAGCTCTAATTCGAAGGGGCTTGCGCAACTTGCTTGTGCCACGCTGTGAGTTTTTGATCTCAACCCTACTAGGACCTACGATCTTCTTACATTGCGAACTCGACCAGTTCGTTTTGCATGCCTGCCCTATGTCATCCCTGCTTGGATCACTGCAGCTTGCGCTTTGTAGCAGAAGAAATATATGCATTGAAATTCATCACCAGGCACTTGACCATTTACTTGCTGGCCAATCTAGGCAAACGCTCGGCAAGTTGTGTTGCAGCCCGTGCCGACCGTCGCCCAGGCGAAGTCACACAAAAAGACTTGTATATACTGGTATGCTTCAAAGTTTGAGCCTTGTCTTTGCTTTCAGAAATGAGTGAGGTGTTGACATGAAGAGTTAAGAATCACAACCAACATTTTGCCAGGGGTTGAGATTATTTGCTGCCGAGCATGTTGATGTCAACATGCAGTCTTTTACAGCAGTCATGGTATTCCTTAGGCCTATCTTTGGCAGGCCTTTTTTGTTGAGGTGATTGTCAATCGTAGATTCGTCGTAGACGCTATTTTAGGCTCGCCCTGCCACTTGCTGAGGCGATGCTAGTCACAGTTGGAGTCGCATGGCTCAGCAGGCGAAGTTTGTTTCTTGCAAAAGGCTTGTTCTTCGAGAGCTGATTGGGCTCCCATCCTCAAGCTGGCGTAAGCATCACACGCATGCACTGCTCAGTACTGAGTAGCTGCTCATTGTTGGAAAGGCGTGCTAGCAGTGCTAGGTGCGAACGGACTGGAAATGTACCAGTCATCAAGATTTGTTTTCAGTAGCACGAAGCTGAGGCTTCGTTGGATTCAGAGTCGGTCACAGATCTCAGAGTGCATACTTAGATAAACTTAGATACTTGTCAGCGCCTCATTGCTTCTTCCCTCTCTGCGCCTTCGGGCGTGCAGAGGGCTTACAAATGTTGCCGGGCACTGAGAAGACTTTCCAACATGGCAGCAGGCAGATGCAGGTAGCATGCTGCCGGCTTGAGTGGTGAATTGGAGGGAAGTTTTCTGCCTGCCATTGTGATCTAAGCAAGTGGCTGACTGGAGACCGAGACAAGGGCAATCGTGCCGGGATCTTGGAGCGCAGGATCGGATTTTCAAGTGACTTTGTGTGGCTCGTGTTGGGCGGCCTCCCGCTGTCTGGATCAGGTTTTTGCCTCAGTCGCTGATGGTCTCCAGGCTTCCGCTTTTTGCACAACATCGGAGCTTGTTGCCCATGTTGATACATGTGTTGCGCGGTGTCAGGTTCTGTACAAAGACAGATTGCTGCCGGTCGAGAAGGACTTCTGCAACTCAACCTGGGGTCCAGATCCCCGAAGCAGACCAGTGATTGTGCTATCCGTCAGTCGGCTTCCAGATGGCAGGAGTTCAGTTTTCATCACTTCTTCTCGCCTGAGTTAACGGATGCAGATTTCTCTGCCCGACCCATGGCATGATCCTAAGGTTGTCGGCCCGGCAATGTAGAGGGCTGCGCAGTACTGGACATATGCAGCACACTAGCGTAAGATAATGTAACGCAACCATCTCAGCCGCAGCTCAGCAACAGCGACGTCTAGCTAAACTTTAGCACGGCTGTCGTTCAGTTGGCATTTTTGCAGCAAGAGTGAACCTGCTGAAGAGGTCATGCTCACCGGCCAGTATTCTACCGGCAAGAGCAGCTCGGCAGAATGTGCATACAGCATTGCTGCCATCGCGGGTGCCAGCTCTTGTGTGGTGGACTATGAGCCATTGATTGCAGTAAGAGTGTTGAGCGGAACCTGCCGCGAGTCTGAGTCAGAAACGATCCGCGATTCAAAAATCGCATTTCTCAGTTTTCGAACCTGACATTTGCCAGGCACCTTTATCCGGCACCTGCTCGGGCACGCCGTCATTGTTTGCTTGAAGCTCCAGCTTCAGTTCCACGTAGCCTGCATGTGGCGATGCAGTGAAACCATGCATATTATTATGTTGCTTCATGCTTGGTTCAACCATTGTTTGATCAAACGAACATAAACGCATTCCCATCAAACCACCAGCGTCGAGACACACGCGTTCAGCATGCGCTCGTTCAGGACCTAGTTGACAGTTTTCTTCGGCTAATGAGCTGATGTGCAATTATCACTTCACAACGAACTACATAATGCAGTGTGTTGCAGCTAGATGTCACATGAACAATGCCTGCTGGGTGTTTTTACGCACCGGCATGGATTTTCATCCCCGACCCTGACTTAGCACTGGCTTAGCACGCCCGGGTTGGGACGAAAAGCAAGCAGGGCGGAGCTCGGCGGGCGGCAACAGAGTTTTTTGGCAACAACAAGCGGGTGCCTGCTTGCTTTATGTGACCGCGACAGCGCGGGGCCACGTCTGGTTCCAAAGAAGGCAACGACGACCCATTTGGATTGTGAGCATCGGAACACAAGCAGTGGTGATACTTTCGCGGGTGCTCGAGTCGCTGTGATTCTATGACCGGCAGAAAGATGCGCTATGCAGGCGCAGGTTCCATGCCATGCGACCGTGCGTGCGAGCGTGCGAGCGAGCGTGCGTGCGAGCGTGCATGCGTGGGTGTGGGTATGGGGTCTTGGCTGCTCGGTGTGTGTGTGTGTGTGTGTGTGTGTGTGTGTGTGTGTGTGTGTGTGTGTGTGTGTGTGTGTGTGTGTGTGTGTGTGTGTGTGTGTGTGTGTGTGTGTGTGTGTGTGTGTGTGTGTGTGTGCATGCATGCATGCATGCGTTCCTTTTTTGGCTTCAATGAGCGCTGAATGAGTTCGCACACATATTATGTACCGGGAGTCCACTGTTTAGTTGGAAGAACATGCGGGGGTCACAATGGACATTGCATTCTTGTTCCCACGTAACAAACTCAAAAATGTCGATGTATTTGTACTGGAGTTCAGCGCAGCAAAGGCATGCCGGTGCGGGTGTGGTGTGGTGTGTGTGTGTGTGGCGATCATGTCTAGCGGGTACTCTAAACAGCTTGGCGGGAGGTGTCTTCACCCATCTCCACCCACATTTACCTGATCATGTTTCCAAAACAGAAGGGGCCGTGTGACAATGCCAGAATTCTCCAGGATGCGGTCCCGTTTTGTAGAAGTGGGATTTGTTTTTGGAAGTCGAGACTGGGACATAGTCCCAGAACTTATTGAGCAGTTTTCGGGACATGGTGACGGCATGTGCATTGGCTGTCGTGGCCGTGGATATGCGATGATTGGCGAACCGGCCATCTCACGACGTTTCCACAACGTGCGTGGCAACGAGCAAGGAGGTTAGAGGGGCTGAATCCGTCGTCTTTGATTCCCAGGATCGACTCTAACGACGTAGCACATCGTAGCGTTTCGAAGTCATCGTTTTGCGAACGTGGTTGTTAAACTTAGTACAATGCGAAAAAGTGCGGGTGCCAGAGTGAGTCCCTCAAACTCGGCTAGTGTAATTCAGAGATTGGCCAGGCGGGACTATCCCGGATTGCGAATTGGCCCAGAGCCAACAACAGACAAATTCGTCGCTGTGTGCAAAGGCGACATGGATCAGGCCGAAGGGTGCTTGCCTTCCGACATGACGTTGGTGAAGCCTTTGCATGGCGCCCGCCAGGTCATTCCAGGGAATGCCTTGGTTGTTGACAAATCCATGCCATTTACGCAGCTAAGCCACTTCGGTCGCGAAGCCGCAACTGGAGAGTTGTTGTCACTTCATATGCAGAGCGCTGCAGAACTTGGTGCTGAAACAGTGTGGTTGGAGCCTGGTAAGGCAACAACTTTCTGACTCGGTTCGAGTGCGCAAAGCTCGACAGTGCTGTTCTGAATGGCATGTCTCTCATAGACACGGTCGGGCTGCCCAGAGGTTGATTTCGGCAATCTAAAATCGCAATAGCAGTGACAGCCGGTCGCTGACTTTTCAGTCACTCATGATGTTTTCCCCTGCAGCCTGGCGTTTTGTCCGGCGAGAAGCAGCGGCTGAAACGCAGCAGCCTGAGCTGAGGGCCAGCTTGAGTATTGTGCAGATGCTAGTAGTCTGAGGTGGATACGAGTTCGAGGCAGGCAGCTGCAACGACACGGCGGAGCACGTGCTTACATGTTTGTGTGATTTTGTGCGCGTTGTGCTCCCAAGCATTTTGCTTACAGGAAGCATATGGCAGCATGAGTCATTTAGTGGTACACAGAGCACACAGTGCAGACGTTTCAACAAGCAAAGCAGGCAACCAAGCCCAAGCCTTCAAGATCCCTCAAACATGTAAAGGCGCTAGACACCTGTAGACTTGAGGACGACCATAGACTGCACATTGGAGAACTTCAGAAGCCTCTTTAGTTCTTTTCAGCCATCTTCAGATTCATCTTTCTCCTTCCGGGACCCTGAGCAGACCAGAGTCCATGATTAAGCAACCAACAATTATTTCTGCAAGTGCGGTGCCGCCTTTGCGCGCCAAGTTGCAGCAACACCCGCACCAACCCATCATAGCCTCAAAGCCCATCCAAATTAGCAAATCTAGGCCTTAGGGTCAGTACTAGGTTCCCTTAGGTCGTCTGGTTTGTCCCATTCGCTGTTCCTCGCTGAGTGCGGCAAACGAAGCTTGCCCGGAAGAAGCTACGAAGGATGAGAACGTGAATGACCTGATTGCTTGGCTGACCGTAGATTGGTTTTTGCTGTCGCTGAGGCGATGGCTTCTGTTGCCCTTGCTTCTCGGCTGGATCATGCCGTGAGAGAACGTTGAAACTCCGAGTCTCTCACCATGCCTGAGTCTAGGGATGTCTAGGGGGGTAGCTTAGGGCGCCTTATAGCTTCCAAGAGCTCTTTTGAGCATCAGCTGCAGCGATTCGTGACGATGCCAGGCTGGCACCTCTGAAGACCCCTACAGCAGTTGCTGCTGGGTTGTTCCAGAAGCTTGCAAGGCACCTTTGAAGGAATGTGTCCCATGCATTCTTGCATGTTTTGCAGCACGTTCTGCTCCCGTTTGCAAGATGCAAGACCTGCTTGCAGATCACCTACATGACTGATGTGGAGGGGCATTGGGCATACTTCTGCAACTTTGCTGTGCTGGCATGTTTGGCACCTTGATGGTTGTCTGTTGTGTGCAGCATGCGTGTGGCCTCATAGCAGGTGGAACTGTCAGAGGGTCTCACATTTGCTGAAGACGGTGCAGAAGTCTGAGTCTCCATGGATGCAGCGTGCTTGCGGAAATGCGGACAAACGGTGTCAAGAGGGTTGCGTTGCATCAGGATCAGCGCGAAGCTCGATGTTCTCCAGAGCTGATTGTCAAGGCCTTTCTCAGGTTCTTGCTTGCGACAGCGCTTGCGACTGCAGTGACCCATGATTTAATCTATCAGAGTCCAAACCTGCATTTTCCTCGAGCCAGGACGATTGGCACTTTGTATTTGGTGGCGACACCTGTGACAAAGGCCATTCAGACTTCGATCGGCTCGATCAAGTTCGATCTTCATGTTCCGCAGTTTGAATCAGTTTGAATCGCTGCGAGGCCCGGGTTCGTTGAGGTGCTTGGAGACGCTGGTTTCGGCCAAGAAGTCACCTGGCCTGGTGACAGCACTGTACAGCTGTACATTCATTGTGTACAATCACTGGTTCTTACATTCACTCATCACGGGAATGGCCATGAAAGCGAATGGTCTTCATGTATTTTTGGTGTGCACGTCTACAGCAGATTCTGCACTGTCTGGCTCGTTTCGATAAGGCGGCATCCTGACAGAGTTCATCTGCTTCTCGGGAATCGAGACATCAACAAGATGCGACAGGGCCCCATCTTCTCGACCGTTGTGCGAAAAGTCGTCTGATGTGTTTTGTTGATGTTGGATGCAATGGCAAGGTTACACCTCCGAATTTACGGATGAAGAGGCCATCGGTTCTTTACAGTAGTTTCATTGATACCGTGATGATCGATGTTGGTCAGCTTTACGATGCTTTACGCAGGTTCGACAAGTCTCACCTGAGACTCCTGGTGCGTACTGGGTCCCCGAGGACAAGCGGGTGAGGCATATCTGGCTCTTGCTTGTAGCCTGGGCAGATGTTTCGGGGCATCTACGTGCATCTACGCATTGTGGACAGTCCATGGAGTTACTTCGCTAGCCTTGCTGCGCAAGCGGAGGGCTGTCAACTCAGCTTTGTCATTCAGCGCAGTTGCTGTCTGGTACTTGCATAACCGAACAACCTGTCTTGAGGCAAGGACGTGGAGCTCTTGACACATGAGGAGGTCCAGCGCTACTGCACAAAGCCCAACCTCATGAGGCCCTTTGCTTCAATCACGTAGAGGTGACTCTGGACCCGCTTCCCTTTTGCACTTGCAGGTACCATCTGAAGTATGACATGGGCTCTGACGGCGAGTTTGAATTTCGTCGTCAGGAACTGCATTGACTGTAGTGCTTGCGATCGTGGGCATTCGTAGCAGACGATTCTTTGCAGGAGCTCGCGCATATGTCAACCAGGAATGTCGCAGAGGTGTCTGATGAAGAAGTTGTGAACAGTTACGAGGCCAGTGAGCAAGGTGATGATGTGTTTCCAGTTCTTCGCACTTTTGCTGCAGGCTAGTGTTGCTGAAGGCGGAGTCATGCGTGTGGCACCCAGCATCGTCATGTCATGGGCGCTCGTTTCGTTGCTGCAAAGGTTTGGTCGGCTTGTGCGCTGCAGCAGAGGTGAATACCTCCGACTATCGGAGGTTGCCTGTATCCTTGGCTCGACCCTCTTCGTGCACGGTGCTGTCCTTGACTATCCTTGGTTTCTTGGCAGTCTAGGCCAGAGTCAAGCAACGAGAGAACCGTCTGCCAGGCCAGATCATCGGTAATCAGTTCTCTGATTGTGGACGTGACGGCGTCGCATGGGCTGTTGGAAACCGAGTGTTTGTTCTGCCAACGAAGTGGCAAAGCTTTGACTGCAACCTGTTATTGCCACTTTGCCGACGCTTTGGAGCTGTCAAGGTGGGCTGCGTGCCGCAGCCTCAGTGCGCCGTTTCCAGTCTTCCAGTCCGCACTGTTCTAGCTGCGGAATCTGCTCAGCTTCAGAATCCTCGTCTGCCCACGTGCGCTCTTCTTCTTTGAAAGCTGTATTTCCCAGTTCCCACCCTGCATTTTCGAGTTTCTGTTAGCGTCTTGCTTTCAGATCCCAACTCAACCCAAATCCCAGTTTCCAAATCGAATGCCACTTTGGCCCTTCTTTTGGCCACCGGAATAGTGGTTTGGGGCTTGGCTTGTTGCAGCGTAGGTTTGGTTAGGAACCACTAGTTGAAATTTACCAGTTGCCCTACTTGTGTTCGTTCGGCGGAGTTTCATTTTGCGCCGCTTGCCCAGCCTCCACACAACTTAGTTGCTTGCCGAACTCAGACTCAGAAGACTGGATCGGTACTCCAGGATATAAGGAGCGAGGGAGATGATTCGAGAGAGGCAAGCGGTGGGGCAGGCGAGGTAAGATTGGCAAGTGCCAGGAAACAGATAGTGCTTTTGCCCCACTTGGTGGAGGCAAAATGGGACGAAATTGCCACCTCAAACCTACAGAAGTCTGCATCGTGAATGCTGTACTGCGAGGGCGATTGCCCGTCGACCTTGATGCCGCCAAGCGCCTCAATAAATAAGTTGGTCGCACTTGCCTGGTTGGTCCAATCCTGGCACCACTAGCGTTATAGTCAAATCAGTTCTCATCGTGATCATATGCGAAGAGATGCGCGGAGTGCTCCTATGCCCCATGCCCAAAGTTACACCATATCGTTGGGAGAGTACAAAGACGGACTTCTCTCTCTCTCTCTCATTGGCCTTCTACGGCACACCACAAGTCAAGCGTTAATCTTTACAGTTGCAAGTAACGACGCACGTGAGATGCGAAAATGATGGCAGCGCAGTGCCACGTTTTCGTGATCTTTCCTCCCGGTAGTCACTGTGCGTATACAAGACTTTGCATCAGCGACCACAAGTCGGCCACCTTCTGAGAAACATTCGGGGACAGATCGCAGCAACGGGACTGCTTCATTGAGTCATTGAGCTAACCACGATTGCGAGGCACAGCCAAAACACTGTGCGACAATTGAGAACCCAGTGATCGGCCAACGCTGCCGAGGGAAGCCCAGGGCTCCTTCGCCCCACATCCAGGTCTTGGCCGTCATTGGCATTGTCTTAGAAGACACACTTTTGGGATCTTTTGGAGTTGTAGGCGAGGGGTTATTGCGTCAAAGAGCAGCATTGAGCACAAGATTCATGTTGTCGGGGAGACGTCGGGGAAGTGAGAACTTCAGGCCCTCGGATGATGGTGCCACTTCCGAGTGGGTGTCCGACCTGAAGGAGTGGGTGTTGGGCTCACCTGGCAGCCAGTTTCCAGAGTCACTTCCACAGTTACTTGCGAAGCGCGTGTTAGGCAGCTCCTTGTGAGAACCACCTAGGAGCAGTGTGAGAACCGAGGTAGCACAGATCAACACTTGGGCCAGGCGAAATGTGGCAGTAGCCTTAGTAGCCTTAACTCGCAAAGGCTTTCGGAACGGGATCTCCCCGGATTTCCTGCTGTGCGGAACAGTTTCAGCTGAATCCGGTGCCGAGGCAGCATGGCAGGCCCAGCCAACTTGGCGGAGGTCGGACGGGAAATGTAGCAAATGTGCGGTAACAGTGCTTGGGTTCCAATGGGTTCAGAGTATACAAAGGGAGGGGGCTGAGGTGTACACATGCGGCGCGTGCGGTCGTTTGCTACTCTCGTTTATGCGCGGCGCTCGTTTTGGGTTTGAATCGGGCGCTTGCCCAGGCGTGGGTGTTGCAGTGGATTTCGTTGATCGCGTGTTTAAAGGGTTGGGCGTTGTCTAAAATCCCGTGCGCCTTCTATGCTTGAAGAAACCACGCTTTCGTTTTTTCCTCAGGCACTTTTCACGCTTCAATCACTTGGGTCGCAAGAAAGTGCATGAACATGCCTTTCCTACTTCCTCTGCTTCGCTTCGTGCATCCTTTCTAGGAGGATCTGGTCTTACGCTGTTTGGGGTCAACTCCGTCCCTTTGACATCGTCACAAAAGTCAACAGCCATGCAGCAGGTCTCCCGCAGCTTCCACTTTCGAGGACCACGGTTTTGATTGTGCATCGCAAGAGGAATGGGCGAAGAGGATCGAGGAGTGGATCTTAAGAGGTCTTTCATCAATCGGCCTCCTGCGGCCCCGGCCTGCTTTCCGATGAGTCTCCTCGAGGGATGTTTCGCATCATGTTGCTCACACTCCCCCCCCCCACCTTCATAGCGGAGCTGCCGCGGCGGTCGGCAGAGATGGCGAACTCATGTGAGAGTCCAGGTCTCCAAGAATCCCAGCACAGTAATTCGCGTAATTCAAGTTTTCAACGTCGGGTGAGCCTATGCTGCAATCGTTGCACAAAAAAAGTCCACGCAGGACTGGTGTGACCGGGGCGGCGCCGGGCTCATCGCCTATGGCACCCCTGCCACGCGGGCCGGAAACCAAGAGACAATCCAAAGCCAGCACAAGCCAACTACATTCGACCGCATGTAGCACATGCAGCAGGGGCGGTTCGATCAGACCGGGCCTGCAAGAAAAATATTCGGCCCAAGTTTTTGGTGCTAGTGTTGCATTGCAGCATGATGCAGCTTTGGTGGACCTTTAGGTGCCTTCAGTGGTGTACTGCCGTTGGCTGGAGGACAACTGCATGCCCAAGTCTTCCTGCCTGGTTGCCATGGTGTAGTGCTGGACAGCTGTCTTTTTTAAGTCGTTAAGTTGTTTGTTGAATCTACTGATCTGCTTTGGAGGCCATTGCATCTTGCCCGGGCTCAAGAAGGCAGAAGTAGAGTGCGCAGCTTGGGCGTACTGGACTCCTTTGTCGTCATGTCGGCCCAGACCGAAGAAGATCGGCAGATCGAGCAGTGGAAGGTGAAGCGCCTTGTCAAGATGCTCGATGCCGCACGCGGAAATGGCACATCAGCCATCACATTGATTCTCAATTCTAAGCAGGACATCAACCTGACCAACAAAATGTTGACAGAGGAGTACGGCACTGCGTCGTGTATCAAATCGCGCGTGAACCGCTTGTCGGTGTTGTCCGCCATCACATCAACGCAGCAGCGGTTGAAGAAGTACAACCGTACTCCACCAAACGGCCTTATCATTTTCTGTGGTGAGGTTCTGACGGAGGCCCGGTGTTGCTGAAGGAAAGACAGTTAAATCCATTCTGAGCTCCCCATCCCAGCCGACCAGTTAGGGCCTGTGAAGACGGCGGCACTTTGCAGCCTTACCTTGGGGGATTGTGTGTGTTTACTGGATTCGGTGTGCTGGCCAGCTCATTCGAGTTCATGCTCTGCCGGGAAATCGTGCTCTTTTGGAAGCTCTTCTGTTTGTTTTTCTTCCCCTGTTCCTCTGTTTCCCTGCTCAGGACAACAAGGAGAAGAAGCTGACCATCGACTTCGAGCCCTTCAAGCCGATCAACACTTCCATGTATCTTTGTGACAGCAAGTTTCATACAGAACCCCTTGCTGAGCTCATGGAGGATGATGACAAGTTTGGGTTCCTGATCATGGACGGTAATGGCTCTCTATTTGGAACTGTGCAGGGAAACCATCGCGAGATCTTGCACAAATTCACCGTGGACTTGCCAAAGAAGCACGGCCGAGGAGGACAGTCTGCTTTGCGTTTTGCGCGCCTCCGACTGGAGAAGCGACACAACTATGTTAGAAAAGTTGGAGAGACGGCAACGCAGATGTTCATTCCAAATGGAGAGACCCCCAACATCAAGGGGCTTATCGTTGCAGGTTCTGCAGAGTTCAAGCAGGACTTGACGACTAACACAGACCTCTTTGATCAGAGACTGGCAGCCATTGTCATTCCGCCACTCCTTGACATCAGCTATGGGGGTGAGGCCGGTTTTAACCAGGCGATTGAGCTGTCGGCAGAGACTCTCCGAAACGTAAAGTTCGTCCAGGAGAAGAAGCTTGTGACAAAATTCTTGGATGAAGTTGCCACAGACTCTGGCCGATACTGCTTCGGGATCAAGGATACGATGCAGGGCCTGGAGGCCGGTGCTGTGGAGATCTTGATCATCTGGGAAAACCTGGATATCAAACGCCTTGTCATTCGGAACCCACATACGGACACTGAGGAAGTCAAGTACGTGACTCCGGAACAGGAGAAGGATCCAAAACTCTATGTTGACAAGGAAACCAACGTAGAGTTGAACGTCACGGAGAACGAGGCGTTCTTGGACTGGATAGTGGTGAACTACAAGAACTTTGGTACCAAGCTGGAGTTTATTTCAGATAGGTCGCAGGAGGGCAACCAGTTCGTCAAGGGCTTTGGAGGCATCGGTGGGCTCATGAGATATCAGCCTCTAAGTTGCAAGCCAGGGCTGGCCAGCATTGAGTTGCATTGAGTTGATCCGTGAGTTGACATCCATGTTGACTTGCGTTGACTCACGTGACTCATGTTGACTCATGTTGATGCAGCTCTGAGGCTTGAGTTTGACTTGCTGGAGGAGCCTGACCTGGCGGAAGCGGACAGTGATGATGATTTCATGTGAGCCATTGCAGTGACTTCAAAAAGCATGCCAAGTCCAAGACTGGCATTCCACAATGCAATCAGGGTGAGGGCTCGTTCATGAAACCAATGTTATGAGAGTCGGACTGGCCATAGTGCTCTCGGCACTGCCGAGGATGTACCAGCCGCTACTGTTGCGCACTCAGGAGCCTTAGATTCTTTAGATCCAGAGCATGGCCAGTAGGCTGTTAAGACCTCTCAAAACCAGTTGTGATGGGAGCTGCCGGGCCTGTCCTGCGACAACACACGATCGCCTTCTTGAACTTTCCAGAAGTCACTACGCATCAAACATCAAAACTGCTTCTTACACGGTTAAACAACTAGACAGAATTTGACATTTGTAGTCATGTAATAGTCATGTAAAGCAGGCCCTGCCATTGTGTACAGTGTACAGGCTCAACAGCACCCTTTGCACAGACGCAATTCTGAAAGGCTCAGCTCTGAACAGTCTCCTCACTCTTGTAGCCTGATCTCACGTCGTGAGATGTCGTGAGCAGGAAGCTTGAATCGCAAAAAAGAGCCGCCCTTTTGCAAGCGCTGCTCCTGCTGCTCGAGGACTTGGCAATCTCTGTGAAAGTACTTGAGATGTGAAAACCTTTGGTTTTGCCGGCAAATGCGGCTGAGCATGCTCGGTTCGGCCAAGCCGCTAGATATGAATATATATATATATATGTATATATATTCAACAAATACATCTATATACGTCACAATGTATATACACACATATTTACACATAAATTATTAAATAAAGATATATATATATATAATATAAAATATAAATATAAATATATATATATATATATATATATAATACATATGTGTGTGCTTACTTGGGCTGACACCTATCCGTCTGTTCTTTTAGCCGGTCGACAGGCTTTCGGTCCACTTACTAAAATTCCACGTTCGCCTGACATTTCTTTGTTTGTATCAGTTTACCTTTTCAACACGGGGCGCCATCCCCAATCAGGCTGCCTCTTGGTGTCGATAAGAAACATGATATAGTTTGCCTGCGCCGCATTGAAGAAATTCATGTTTCTCGATTTCTTGCAGTTTTCGCTGTGGGGGGGGGGCCCGGAACACCTGGAACCCCATGTGTATGTTGTAACAAGCGACCGCTGAGCTTTGACTGCATGTTCTTCGGAAGTGCTGCCTTTACATCTCTTGGGCAACCCCTCGCTAGAAATTCAGATGTGTCCAGAGCCAGGCAGTATCCGTGGCGCTCCCAGCGTCCACCAAAGAGTTTTGTTTTTCCTCGATGTTCCAAGTGGTCGAATCACGTCACATCAACTGTGCAGAATCTTGACATTTGGGTCTTCCTCTTCACACTTTTCAACGACGAACAACGAGGCAAGAGCTTGTGGAACATCTTCAGGCCCACGGCATATGCCGTCGCAGTCCTGGTTCTGATTGCTGCGAGAATGCAGCCTCTGTGCACACCAAGCATGCTGAGCATTGTTGAGGTGTCGTCGTGGGGCACACGCCGCATGGCAACTGTCCAACTGTGATTCCTCATGAAGGAGCGTGTTGTCGCAGCCACTTTGTCAGAAGAATTGGCATTGTGACGCTTGGGGAAAGGCTTAACTGTCATCATGGGTGACACAAGCTACAGCCAGATGCTCAGTGCCCAAAGAATCGACATCAGTGACATCAGTGAATGGAACATCTGTCGTGCAGGTTGCATGAAGGCTGATCTTGCCTACCCAGGGGACAACCGTGGTCGACTGAGAGTCCTTCTTGCTGAGCTTACCGAGTATGGCAGATACTCCGGAAAGATAACGTAAGTAGTGAAGCGGCTGAATCGGTCTGGTGTAGCATTGTTCCGATTGCGAGGTGGTGACGCCGTCTGCGAAATTGTCGAGGGCCTATGCAATGTTCTTCACAAATTATGAATGCACTGGGTGGGAGTCACTGGGAGTTGTGAGGCGTTGGAGGGCGAGAAGTGCTTTGTGCGAGGGTTCACTGGCTACGTCGACGGCCTGAGCGACTTGCCCGCAAAACAATCCACCAGTTGCTTCAATGGGTGATTCCACCAGCTCTCTCGTAAGAAGTTGGGTCGTTCTTGCAGAATGATGGGACATGGTCACCGATGTGTTATTTAGATGTGTGGGCCGTGGCAGCAGTGTCTAAAAGGGTGTGGCTGCAATGTTTGGAGTCCTCTCATCAGATGAGCCACTGCTGTGTCTGTAGAAATGGGTGGGGCTGGGTCCGAAGCCGCGGTGTCCGTCACATGTCCGTGTTTCTCTGTTTCTCTGTTCGCTTGGGTGGGTTGTCAACATCCACGGGCTCCATGGGTCCTTCTTTGGATGTGGTCTGATGTGGGGTGCAGCATGGTCAGCTCGTGTCCCTTCATAGGCGGTGGTTTGTAGGATCCAGGCCGCATATACATCCTTGCACATTGAAGTGACAGATGTTGTGTATTCCTGCTCAGGTTGCCATCGGCAGGCAAGTGCAAGAATATCTTCTGCCTGCGTGTTCTTCCAGTTGCGAAGTGTTCTGTATCAAGAGGATCAGCCACATGATCATCTGCGTTCGGTGCAGGTTGTACACTATGCAGCGCCTGGTGGTGCTGACGGAGGTGACCCACAGAATGCTTGACAAGTAAAGCGACAGTCGATGGAAACTTTGCGCCTTGAAGCATACACAAGTGGCCGAAAACCCCATGGGAAGTTCGACTTCTTGGGATTTGGCTCAATGGTATTGCCCTGGGCGAGCGGGACAATGGGGTTCGCGTTGAAGGTGAGAAAGATCTGAAATCTGAAGCATAAACATTTCCTCCATTCACTGCCTGGAATGATTAGGTCCTTAGGTCAATTAGGTCTTATTGCCATCAGAATTCTGGATGCTGTAGCAGATTGCAATTTCCCTTTTCACAATCGGCTGGTCGACGTAGCATGGCTGGCGACCACGACACTGTCTCCCGGTCTTGCGATGCAAAAGCTCGAAATCAATTCTTGTAAGATACAGGTCTGCTGATCTGCAGACAGCCGCTCTAGCCACTGAGCTATGTAACCAACTGACTATACTTGGAAGGAAGTAACTTCGATGTAGAAGAGCAGTCAACGTGATCTTTGCAGCTTTAGCAAAAGAGTTTCAGTGTTCACACTTAGATGGCGTACAAGAGGCCACACCGGATTTGAGCCAGGAACCTGCTCATCTGCAGTCAGCTGCTCTAACCACTTCTTGCAGCAAAATCATGTTGATTGCTCTTGCTGGCGTAGCATCTTTCTGGGGACAAGGAGACATCAGAAAGGAAAGAGGAAGAGAAAAAAACGACTTAGTGCCCTCGGCTTTCTTAGAGTTATCGTGCACTGATCGTTGTTACAGTTAACGTTACGTGTAGCGTTACGAAACACGTGCAGTGGTCCGATTTTCCGAGTTTCGTCGTCAGAAGTCCAGAAGCAGTTGGCCTGCCAGCATGTTTGCAACAGACAAGCGCAGTGACAATGAGGAATCTGGTGCGCAACAGGGGAAGCCAAGAACAACTGTAATGTCAAGTGTATGGTAACTGAGTGTCGGACTCATTTTTGAAGCTGTTGTTCTTTCAACCGCTTGAGAAGCTCTTTCGTTCCCCCGCACTTCCTATACCTGTTCAACCGATGGGCTTGTGATTTCTGTCATTTTTGGGCAGCTCACATGTTTTCAGCAAGCCTGCTCAGGAATCCGCCCCAAAAATTTGGAAGCTAGGCGGCCTTCTAGCCCGCACCTTTTCTCGCTGTATCGAGACAGCTGGGATATGCCTGGTGAAGTATGGTGTGTGGTAGTGAAGGCCACATCGAGCGAACGACCTCTCACCAGTTTGTGGAATCTTCCAGAGTTGGAACATGCAACAGACTGAGTCCAAGTTGTCTGGTTTCTGCGGAGCACGCTCAGACATCTGATTTGTCATCCTGATATGTTTTTGCTGCAGAATGCCAAGAAGCTGCATTTTGCTAGCCTTTTTGAAATGGACAGTACCTCATTAGCTGAGAAAACTACTGGTAACAGCAACAATCTTAGATTTTGGAGCATCTTTCAGAACTGCGGCCCTTTCAACATCTGCGCAATGTTGACTGCTTGTACATGAGCTCACCGCACACTGTAGTTGTCTGATGGCACAAGTTAAACGTTGCTCTTTACTGTAGTTACTACTGGGGACAAACGGATCCTGAGCGTGTGGACAGAGGAGGCCAAAGCTACATCAGCTGAGGGGTACTGGATGGAGGAAACCGTTTACTGGTCAAATCTCCCTTGCGCCCCCTTGTAGCATTATCTTAAAAAGGTGGCTTGGCGATTCCAGCCATTGTAGCGAAGTGAAGAACAGCATTCTGAGAAGACGTAGTGCAATATGTCCTCCATCCATTGGGGGGTTTCTCTGGTGCATCGCTTGATCGCAGGTGGAGATCCTCATATTGGTATTGTGCAGCCAGAAAGTGAGGAAGCTGTGGCCCCAGTTCTGTGCGAGCGTAAGACAAACTATGTCAAAAGTCTTCTGAGTTGAAGCCCTCTAAGTCGAAATGTGCAGACAAATCCAGAGCCCTGTCTTTCTCCGAAGCCTCCCGCATCCCGGAGTTTACGAGATCATACCGCGGATATCCGAGAGTCAATCAAGGTTATTGCCTTGCAAACGAGCTCTGTGCGATCTTCACAAGCGGGTGTATTGATGCTTATTAAAAGCATATTCAATCCAGAGCGCATTCAAGGTTAGATGCCTGTGCTCAATTTACAAGTGCTTCCGCCGAAGCCTGTCCAGGATGCAGCATGCAGCCTGTTCATTTAGGTTCCTGAAGACAAGCGCTTCTTCGTCAAGGCGTGCTTGGCGGCCTTGGAAGGCTCGTAGCCTACTCGGGAGAGATTGGCGTGTAGCCTTTTGCTGCTACTTCCCGTTCGGAAAACAGCTTCAGCTCTGCTCGCTTGCGTTTGCACGAGGGATCCGAATGCCAGGTGTGCATTCTGGTGTACTGTCGCTAGTTTGGTGAAAGGTTCCCGAGGGTTGTGTACGAAGCGCGTATGCTTACTACTGTTACGCATTGCTGCAATCTTACAATGCATGACGTCAGTGGTTTTGCGTGTTGTGATCGACGTCTTGACAATGGCTCAATGTCTCACCTTCTGGGTTTATTGTGGTTTACTGGCCCTTGTGCTTGAGCAGGATACGATGCCAGATATCTTCTGTGCAAAGTCGATGGCTTCACCAACACATATCAGGTTGGTTGAGCACGGTGGTTCGTGTTGCACCGTGAGAGTTCTTGAATGCATGTTCATGCACAGCGAAAGGAAGAGTCACCAGATGAAGTCATCAGAGTATTTGGCAGCCGAAAGCCTATGATTCTTTCGCAGCCGTCCGTACCTAGGCTCAGTGTTATGCCATTGCAGAATCAGGTCATTGCATCCTGCCGTCCAACCAGTCAAGAAGGCCGTGTGACGAGGTGATGTGTTGCGTCGGCAGTTGCGTTGTCGCTCCTCTGAGGCTGGAAATAGCTTCCTTCGGTGAGGAGTTTGGAGCTGGGTTCACGGGTTCCAAGCTGAGCTTTCTCAACGAACTTTCAACATATCAAACGCCCTGCGCTTCTCAACGTGGTTTGTCGAAGTTGTTTCTAGCTCCATCAATGTGCTTATTTGTTGTGGCCGGATGGCGAAGATGTGAAAGGTGCCGAAGGCGACGTTGTGGAGCGCATTTTCCGAAGGCAGCTGATTCGTTTGTTGCTCCCAGCTCGTTTGCTGGCTTTCTGGAACCATGTGGCCAATGCAAGTCATAGCTCCACGGCCGTTTTCGTGTGGAATTTCCGAGTTGTTGTGAGGAAGCGTCCTGTTGGTTACCCGTTGCAGGCAATGTCAAAGCCAGGAGAGTTGTTAGATTCTGTTTCGGCAGGGTCGTTCTGGTCTGAGTGCCCACGGAAAGCAATTGAGTTGGCCACCATTTTGGCCACGCTGAAGCTCAATGACAGGGCCGGCGTCGCAGAAAGATGGCCGAAAGGTGACGCGTGGGAATCTGACGCTGACGCTTGCCTTTCGAGATCGCGGGCCGAGTTCATGCACGTGAAAGCCAGCACATCAGACCGGATCCAGAGCCAGGTACATGCCCGGTTGAGTTCGTAAACTGAGCGTGCGCTCCAAGCATCATGGGCACGCTCTCCCACTCCCTGGGCCCTTTGTCCATCACTCCTTGACAGGAGTCTTGCTAACTCGTTTGCCGTCTCCGAAAAGCATGCTGTTCTCACTCTTCTTGTCGCACGGTTTCTTAGATGTCTTCGTACGAGCATCACATGGCTGCACCCTTGCCGTTCAACCAAGCGTTTTTATTGCCTGTACTGCAAAATACTGCAAATCTATGAAACCTCCCATATTCCTCAGCTTCCAGGCTAAGTGACTTACACTCATGTAACAACGGGGACCGAAGTCACAGCAAGTCACAAGGTTTCACAAATTCGTGTGTGATTCAGGAACTTTGTCACTGTAAAACTCTAGCAGAGGCCTTGGCAACTGCTAAGCGACCAAGAAGCAATGCAGAGAGAAAAGAGCATTCATCTTGAGATTTGGAGCCTGTGCAAAAACAGTCAGGCTTGATCGAAATCATGATGGAGCCGTGACGGCACACGAGCTTCGAACGGCCTGCAGTGACAGCACAGCCGCAGCCTAAACATGAAGAGTTGTCTGTGCAGTTCTTTGTGTTGCCTGCTTGAACATCTTTATACACCACTGGGAGGTACGCATGGCACTTCAATGGACGTTTCCAGATACCTGCTTGGAGGATCATTTGACATCATGATAAGACATGTGACAAATGGAAACCCTGTCGCCCTTTCCCAAGCCGGCGAGAGCATTGGAGGAGGTGTTCCACGAGCTGGATACCAACAAAGATGGTTTGGTGCTCCCCCCGGAGAAAAGCAGGACTTGCGCTACGTTGCAGCTTTAACAGGCCACGGGTACGAAGTGCGCTTGGTTCGATCTGAAAGCTTGCCGAGTTGAATGTGGCAAGTTGCGTGCCTGACATCAGTAGCTGCTTTGTCTGAGGTGTCCTTGCACGAATTTGAGACTCGATTTCGGGGGACGGCTGCTTGGACCAAGACACGAGGTCTGCGCATCCACCTGTGCCATGGATTTACCTGTTGAGCCGACTCGCATGAGGTTGCCACGGCTGGCAGTCAGGCCAACAGCCGCTGCACCAGCAGGCAATCCTCAATGGTCCCGGAATAGCCTCTCATTTGCAGATTGTTCAGGCTGGTACGACCTAATGCAAGCTCCAGAGTGTCAAGCAGTCATAAGCAGATATAAGCAGTCTGGCGTCTAGCGGCCCCCAGAGAAACGACAAGGAGTTGCAGCTCAATCCGAGGCGTTTGCAGGACGATGGTCACCATAGTCTTTATTCCAGAGCGCAACCTCGGACACGAGCATGCGGCCGTGTAGCTTACATCTGCCGAAGTTTCACTGTATGATAGTGGCAGGTGTTCAGTACTTCACTCAGCCATCGCAGCCAGCAATTCAACGCCTATTTGAGTAAACCTTGCTGGAGAAAGTGCTGGGCAAGTTAGATTTAATACGTTGCTGTGCATGAGAACTCATGCGAGTCATTTTCCGCATAGCGCCTTGCATAGTCCGGCGGCGAACTATGCTGGACACTTAGGTCAGCCTTTCTTGGGAGATGTTTGTTCAAGAGCTTGTGATTGCGGGGGAGATTGATGTTGATGCTCCGGGTTTTAGCGGTTGACAGTTATGTTGCTACGGCAGGCGTAGATAGTGGACTCCTGTGCGCTCGTCGTTCGCAAATGCCGTTTGCGAAGTGAGCATGCAATGGGATGTGTACAGTTGCGAGTGCAAGTAAGTGCAAGCAGCTCCATTCCATGTTTCTGTGGACCCATGGTGAAGCGCTGGGAGGAAGTTATCAAGTGGTTTGCAGACCGCGTTGACATGATATTGGTACTCTTTGATGTGTGGCTCGGCCGCAGGAGCCTTCCAGAAGCGTGAATGAGAGAGTTGTCGTGCCCTTCATTGCCCTTCCGAGGTCTAAGCTGGACATCTCTGATGAGTTCCGTCGTGTACTGCTTGCTTTGAAAGGGAGCATTGGCATTATTTCGTGCAGTTTGGTAGATCAGGCAAGTATCACATCACAGCTGTGGGGATGCTGTTGGCGTTTCATGCTGAACTAATTCGGCGAGATTCGGCGAGTGAAAGGAACGATCAGAAGATACACATCATTCTGAACAAGGCGAGGATTGGTTGAAGGGAAGCAGCTGATAATGGCTTGTGTTGGAATGGCTTTCATACTTCCATCAGTCAGTGGCTGTTGCAAGATGCTACCGTATGTTACTGTGAGTCTCTTGACGTTGACAGGCTGATCAAGTAACAACACCGCAGCTGATGCGCGTTTATGGGGCAAGGCTCTCGAGTGAAAAGTCCCTTGCTGTTTCATGAATACAAGACAAATCTGTAGCGATATTTCCCGGACAGACACGGGTTGAAAGATGTTGGAAAGTCCGGCGTCCCTGTGCGTAGTGTTCCAAAAAGGGTGGCTGTTGATTGCTAAGGCACTGATGTGGTCCCTGGGCAAGGTTATCGCCTTCACCTGAGCTTCACTCACTATGACTCGCGTCAGTAGCGAGAGACTTTGATGTACGTGCAAGGACACTCCAGAAGTGTCCCGTGTCTACATTGGGTCCTACTGGGCCTGACTCTTGTGTTGGAGCACTGGGATTGTTTTTGCTGCTCTGCTTGAAATTTCTCTGCTACTTGCATGTTGAGGACGGGGCGCTGCGAAATGTCGAAATGAGAAGTCTGTTCGAGTCAGAAGAGCCTGGTGCCTATGGATTTTCCCTCTTCAATCGGACTGTGGTTGTAACAATGCCGTTATATTGTGAGGTGGGCTGGGCTTGTCTGTTGCCAAGGAATGACCTGTACACGGCCTTGTCCCAGATGCCCCGCGGTGCGGCCACAAGAAAGCTTAACGACTTGATCAAGCGGGCGAGACTGGCCCGGGCAGATGCCTTGGCAGAAGCCTGGCACAATCTTTGCTTGACTTCACTGCAAAGGGTTTGTCGCAAGGTGCTGGCCTTCTTGTTAAACCATCTGAGGACCTGTGGCCTTTTTTCCATTAAGCTGTGACCAATCCTGTGCTCCACGCAGGAATAAAATGCCCTCCTTCATGGGGAAGAGCAAGGACCTTGCTTTGGTGCGCAACTCTTTTTAGAGACGAGTCAGCGCCAAAAACCATGCCGGCGAAATCAACTTGTGCTTGAAAGGTTGTGGTCGTGAGTAGTCCTGAGGCCAAGGTCCATTCTGCCAGCAGGCTTCCTCGCATCATGGGCAGGAGCAGAAAAAGCTGATTGACAATCTTACCAACGTCTATGCCGAAATTGCCAAGGACAGCCCAGCTGCTGCGTTTCCGCAGGGTGTCGCAGTGAAACGATGCGAGGAGCGCAGCTTGGCAATGGGCGACTTCCCCGACCCGACTCTGATGCGGGTGCAGGGTTTGGAGGGCAAGTGGCAGTTTGCTCGTAGCGTCGTACAGGGAACATCCTGATCATGCCCGTCCCCTGTGGACAGGAGAAGCTGGAAAAAATGGATTTCACCAAGTTTCCAAAGCTGGATAAGAAGAAAATGGACAATTTAGAGGCTTCCGCCTTAACTCCAAGCACCCTGGGCAGTCTTGTCGCAGAAAGCCGCAGGCCATGATCCACCAGGAGCTACCTCAGCTGCTAAAGATGACGACTGAGGAGGCCTTTTACTGCAGCTTTCCATGCTTCCAAACTTAGGGCCAGCTTTTCTCCATCCACGTACTCAAATGACAGACTTGCAAGACAAAAATATCATGAAATATCTGCTGCTTCAGGCTGCCGCAAGCCGAAGCTGCGGAGGTTCGCGCCTGTCCTGTGGCCATGCAGGTGACATGTGTTGCGGCACAGAGAGAGCATGTATTTTAATTCTTGAGTGTAGAGTCAGAGGGTGCGCTGAAGCCATCCTGCCGCCGAGGCACAGCTTTCTTCAGGGGCTTCGCCTTTTGCTGTGATGAAGGTCGGTGAACATAGAGTGCCTCAACGTCCATGGGGCTTTGGCGCGCTTAGCGCCTTGCTCAGCATGAGATGTTCTGAGTCTGCCAAGGATGCAATTGTTTCTTCTTTTCTTTATCTGTGATCTCCTTTCCGGGTGTTACCCTCAGGTTGATGGGCAAAGCGAGCAAAGCGTTTTACCAGAACCACCAGGGGCTTGGCATCCTGTACCATCCTTACTCAAGTTCACCTATGCACGTGTCTGCGATGGATACATTCCAAATGTCGGACGCTTAGCTTTGTCCCTGGATAAGATCGGCAGTCAGGCAGCCTGTACCCATCCTTGACTGGGATTTCAGAAGTGCTCTGACGATTTGGCGACGGAGCTTGCTTGAGAGCATAGGGAGCGCACGAGCATGACATGAATTTGGAAAACGTCCACTTTTTGGTTGCAATGGCATTGAAGTTACAGTATTGCTAGAGCGCACTGGCCAGTCGATGGCACACGAGTTTACGATAGGTTTACGCGTTTAGCTGAGCTTAGATGCGTTTGGCTGCTAGGTGACGAGTATGTGACCGAGTTCGAGGCTGTTGGCCGAAATGCTCGGTGAGACAAGCATCTAGCCATTTCTCCTTCGGCTGATGGCGACAAGGTCCGAAACAGCTGGGAAAATCTCGGGACTGCAGGTCGGGATTGCGTAAGACATCGGCTTGATCTCTTAAAGCTGTACTCATATTGCCCAGCAGGCAAAGGCCAAGCTGGAGGAGAGCAAGCTTCCGTCGAAGGTCCTCATGCAATTTGGAACCTTTTCAGATGTGGACAAGGACTCCAGAGAGCAAGAGAACAGGTGGAGCAGTTTAGTTTTAGAACATCTCTGATGCTCTGGGCTTGAGGATGGTTTCTATCTTTGTCCGAGTTTGCGCTCGCCCAGCATTTCATCAAGATGAAGCTGGCAGGGCAGGACCAAAAACTTAGCGCCTTTGTGCAAATGGGCATGGGGTAGTAAGCATGTCACTTTTGCCAGGATCTTCCTCCTACTCTTCCGCCACGATGGTTCCACCACCTGAGGGCCAATCGGGCCTAATAGGCCGTCCCTACGCGTGCTGTGTCAAGAAGCTTGGAAGAACTTAGCACATTCTCAGCCATGCTGAGCGTGTGTCATTGTTTCGTCGAATCTTAGTGTCGAAGATCTCCCTCCGCACTGCGAGAAACGCAGTTTCACAGAGGAGAAAACCGCTGGTAGACCGCCATGGTTTCAGCTCGTGACGAGGAGCCGATCATGTGATGGATCAAACGAGTAACGAGAACTCTCTGCCAGGCTTGTGCCCCTGTGCAGATCGATTGGCGGCACGAAATCAAATTGCACGAGCTATGGTAGCTATGTGTGTACTGTGTACTAGTTACTGCTTGTACATGGGCAGAGTTTGGTAGCACCGAATGAAGGATTTGGCAAGCACACTAGGGGTGCGTTTGAGGACAGGCGTGGATTCTGTCGCGCCCCCCATGGACGGAGGAAGGATCAGCCGATGATCGCCATTGCAGTCTAGCGCGCTCACAAAGAAGCCAGCACTGTGACATCCCACTCTGACATGCAACCGCATCAGTTGCTTGGGTGGCCTTTCCATGCGCCGTCCCTTGTCTTTTTCGCTAGAGTGGTGTAATCGCAAGGGTAAACACTCAAGAGCCAATGCGACAATTGCCCTCTGTAATGGTAGTTGCGGATTATATTTTCGGGCCGCACTTGAAGAGGGCATGAGATCCTGAAGGGTCGACAGGACTGGCCCAAGGACTTTGTCCATGATCGTGACCGCGGCTTGTTGCACTTGCTTGAGCTTGACTCAATTCTATCGTTTGTCGCACCAATCTCTTGCTAATCTTGTCAGACCTGGCAGGCACGCAAAGTGTTTCAACAGGGTTCAGTGGGTTCAATGTGAGGCTTCATGCTCATGAGTCTCGCAAGCCAGTCGGAGTCGGAGTCGTTCTGTTTTTGGGCTTCCAGCAGCGTCAATGCATTCTTCCAGTCGCTCAGCGAGATTCTGTGGAACCTGTTTGGATCTTTGTACGCATAGGTTTTCCAGATAGAATTATGATGCATCAAAGTTTACAAGCAACTCCCTCCTGCCTAGCTGCTGATCCCAGTCCTACAGATTTTTGTCTCTGGGCCTGAGCAATGTGCGGAGGCCCAGTTCGATCAGTTTAGCGGGGTCAGGTACCATTGAAGGAGAGAGCATATGCTCAAAGCTCCATGCACGTGAGGAAGTATGATTAGCAGCAGATCTGCGCTACTGATACCAGTTCAATCTTTGACATGTTAACATCAGTATCTTCATGCCCTCAAGCAAAGTACAGTATGGGATTGGGCCACTCATCCTAAGTCCATGTTCCAACTTTCTGGAGTTCCCTTGCATCATTTCCGATTCCAGTAGCAGGCTAGGGCCCGGCATCTGCAAGCAGCGCCAGAGACTACAGTGACTACATGATGGTCGGAGAGAGAGGAGCACAGTATGTCTGTAGTTGTGCACGAGACAGGTATTGGCGGCGATGCCCACTGAGGATACGGTCGTTGTGCTGTTTTTACTGCTACCAAGGCCACCATGCTGAGCTGACAGAAAGGACAGCCCATAGAAGCAATTTTAAGTGAAGCATGTGAACTAGGTGCAAAGGCTCTTTACGCTCTTGTCTTCGCTGCTGTGGATTTTTCTCCTTGAGTCAGGACTTGGCGCGGAAGGGGCAGCACAATTGGCGGACGAGACGCGGCCCAGAGTTCCGGGTGTTCGATGGCAACGGGCAACATGCCTGTTGTGTGACACAGTTGTACCGACAGGGCTTGCATCTTTGCAAATCGTGACCAATGGCTGCGCATCAGTATTCGGCTCAAGTAATTTTCCACAGAAACTTGTGCCGACTAGTTTCGAAGGCTCATGTGCAAGTCCTAGACTCAGGCTCTTTCCACAAGTGGTTTGCAGATACATACGGAGTCTCGAGTGGAAGAGATCTCTTGAGGTCCGAAACCTACGTGCTCGACGCGAGCTTCGACCCGGATGCTTTCGTGGCAGATGTTAAGGCAGCGAAGGCCCGGAGATGGATGCGGAAAGCCAAGGACCGATAGGATTTAGACATGTAGAGACAGATCTAACCCGAATGCCAGAAGAAGTTTGCTCTTGCATTGCCGACCGGATGCTCCCCAAGTCGGCGGACGCCCATAATTAGGTCGACACTAGAAACTCGTCACAGCTTGGGGCGGTTCTGGGGTGCTTGGTGGGGGGTGCCGGGCTGGGCGTCGCAGCTTTTCTGCTGGCACCGGGCTGGCAACCGCACCGGGCTGAGAAACCGTCGCAGCTTGGGGTGCTTGCAGGGGGCGGGCTCGCCAGTTGCGGTGCTTGGCAGGGGGTTCTGGGGGCTTGGCAGGGGGCTGGCGGGAAACTCGTCGCGGGCTGGGGGGTTTTTTGGTGCATGGAGGGGTGCGGGCTGCAACCGGCGCAGCTTGGGGGGGTTCTGGTGCTTGGTAGGGGGTGCGGGCTGCTGGTCGGGGTTTGGCAGTGGTGCGGGCTGGCACCCGCACCGGCTTAGGAAAACTCGTCGCAGCTGGGGGGGGTTAGGGGGCACCCGCACCGGGCTTAAAACTGGTCGCAGCTTGGGGGGGCTTGGGGGTGCTTGGCAGGGGTGCGTGCTGGCACCCGCACCGGGCTTAGAAACTCGTCGCAGCTTGGGGGGCTTGCGGGGGTGCTTGGCAGGGTGCGGGCTGGCCAACCCGCACCGGGCTTAGAAACTCGTCGCAGCTTGGGGGGGCTTGAGGGGTCGGGCTGGCAAACCCGCACGCTTAGAAACTCGTCGCAGCTTGGGGGGGCTTGGGGGTTTTGCAGGGGTGCGGGCTGCTTGGCAGGGTGCGGGCTGGCAACCCGCCACGGCTTAGAAACTCGTCGCACTTGGGGGGGTTGGGGGTTTGGCAGGGGTGCGGGCTGGCAACCCCACCGGCTTAGAAACTCGTCGCAGCTTGGGGGGGCTTGGGGGTGCTGCAGGGGTGCGGCTGGCAAACCCGCACCGGCTTAGAAAACTCGTCGCAGCTTGGGGGGGCGTGGGGGTGCTTGGCAGGGGTGCGGGGGCAAACCCGCTTGCAGGCTTAGAACCTCGTCGCAGCTGGGGGGGCTTGGGGGTGCTGGCAGGGTGCGGGCTGGCAACCCGCACGGGCTTAGAAACTCGTCGCAGCTTGGGGGGGCTTGGGGTGCTTGGCAATGGCGGCTTAGAAATCGTCGCAGGCTGGGGGGCTTGGGCGTGCTGGGGTCTGCAACCCGCACCGGGCTTAAAAATTGGGGGGGCTTGCGTGCGGCAGCTTGGGGGGGCTTGGGGGTGCTTGGCAGGGGTGCGGGCTGGCAACCCGCACCGGCTTAGAAACTCGTCGCAGCTTGGGGGCTGGGGGTGCTGGCAGGGGTGCGGTGGCAAGGGCCCGGGCTTAGAACTCGTCGCAGCTGGGGGGGGGGGGGTGCTTGGCAGGGGCTTAGAAACCGTCGCAGTGGGGGGGCTTGGGGGCAGGGGTGCGGGTGGCAACCGCACCTGGTAGAAATCGTCGCAGCTGGGGGGGCTTGGGGGTGCTTGGGGGGGCTGCGGGCTGGGGCTTAGAAACTCGTCGCAGCTGGGGGGCTTGGGGTGCTTGGCAGGGGGCTGGGCAACGAAAACTCGTCGCAGCTTGGGGGAGCTGGGGGGCAGGGGGGGCGGCACCCCTGCCAAGCACCCCCCCAAGCCCCCCCCAAGCTGCGACTAGTTTCTAAGCGTGCGGGTTGCCAGCCCGCACCCCTGCGAGTTTCTAAGCCCGGTGCGGGTTGCCAACCCACACCCCTGCCAAGCACCCCCAAGCCCCCCCAAGCCGCAACGAGTTTGCGGGTTGCCAGCCCGCACCCCTCCCCCAAGCTGTGACGAGTTTCTAAGCCCGGTGCGGGTTGCCAGCCCGCACCCCTGCGAGTTTCTAAGCCCGGTGCGGGTTGCCAACCCACACCCCTGCAGGGGGGTGCGGGCTGGCAACCCGCACCGGGCTTAGAAACTCGTCGCAGCTTGGGGGCGCTTGGGGGTGCTTGGCAGGGGTGCGGGCTGGCAAACCGCACCGGGGCTTAGAAACTCGTCGCAGCTTGGGGGGGCTTGGGGGTGCTTGGCAGGGGTGCGGGCTGGCAACCCCCACCGGGCTTAGAAACTCGTCGCAGCTTGGGGGGGCTTGGGGGTGCTTGGGGGTGCTTGGCAGGGGTGCGGGCTAGCAACCCCGTACCGGGCTTAGAAACTCGTCGCAGCTTGGGGGGGCTTGGGGGTGCTTGGCAGGGGTGCGGGCTGGCAAACCGCACCGGGGCTTAGAAACTCGTCGCAGCTTGGGGGGACTTGGGGGTGCTTGGCAGGGGTGCGGGCTGGCAACCCGCACCGGGCTTAGAAACTCGTCGCAGCTTGGGGGGGCTTGGGGGTGCTTGGGGGTGCTTGGCAGGGGTGCGGGCTAGCAACCCCGTACCGGGCTTAGAAACTCGTCGCAGCTTGGGGGGGCTTGGGGGTGCTTGGCAGGGGTGCGGGCTGGCAAACCGCACCGGGGCTTAGAAACTCGTCGCAGCTTGGGGGGACTTGGGGGTGCTTGGCAGGGGTGCGGGCTGGCAACCCGCACCGGGCGTAGAAACTCGCCGCAGCTTGGGGGGGCTTGGGGGTGCTTGGCAGGGGTGCGGGCTAGCAACCCCGTACCGGGCTTAGAAACTCGTCGCAGCTTGGGGGGGCTTGGGGGTGCTTGGCAGGGGTGCGGGCTGGCAACCCATGCCGGGCTTAGAAACTCGTCGCAGCTTGGAGGAGGTTCAAGGCTTGGGAGGGGGTGCGGGCTTGCAACTGCGCCGGCATAGAAACTAGCGAAATGTGTCGTACTCAAATCACAGCAAGGTTTGGTCTGGATTTGAGTGCCACATCTGTAACGTGAGGCCACGCAAGTGAATGGCTCCGATCGTGGCCATATTGGCTGAAAACGATCCCATTGTGATATGTTTTGCTCTCTGCAGATCTACAACCGTTGGCCTGGGGAAGAATGGCAGCTCGGGGCGGTGACCAGCGTGGCTGCGATCGTGGCTATGAACACCATGATCGCCGCGGCTACCACCGTAGAGACCGACGAGTTCGTGGTCTTATCTTCTATTGGGACTACGTCGCTTTCCCCCGTGCTTGAAGCATATCGAAAGGTGTTCGCTCTTATGCTCATGTCCGTGATCAGCGGGTAGCGAGAGTTAACATTATGGATTTTCGGAAACATGAAAGGCCCAGCAGCCTACAAGAAATTACATGCCTCTTCATAATTGCAGTCACCTGGGCGGCGGGTGTGCATGTCGCCCGCAGGACGAAGACAGGAAAGAAAAGGCGGAAATAAAAGTGGATGTGATATTGATATGTAAAGAAAGTAGAGGTTTTCCGATCTTAGAAAATGGAAGGGTTTCTTTTCGAATCGAGGCAACCGACCCCGGCCCAACCGAAGTAGCACAAAGGACAAAGCCATCCATCGGCAGTAGTTGGGCAAATGTTCGGCAGGCAGCCGTGGGAGACGCCACCGAGGAAGATGCTCGTCACTTGCAGGGCTTGGTGCTGACCTCACAGGCACGTTGCAAGCGTCAGGAGTAGCATAGCACTGCCGATGAAAGCGCCTGTGCTGGCCACTGGCCGTCTGAAGCGAGCCTACTTTGTCAGCGGCCTCGCAGGTTCTACTCTATGGCGGCCCCTTCTCCGCAGCTAATTTCCCATGTGTATTTTTAGGTAGCAGTGCTTGAGAAAGTGCTGTTTTCACAGCATGCCCCCGACATGGTTGGAGGCCAATGTCCTTTCTAGTGTAGGTCATGCAATGCTGCTGCTGGGTGCTGCTTTGCCACGATTCTCCTGGATTGTCCTGGCTGCTGGCACTGGCCTTAGAACATGGAGACAGAAGAGGTATCCCAAGGGTGGAGCAGGGTATATATAGCTAGTCGGGGCTGGAATGGAAGGGCCAGCGCAGCTATGTCTACGAGAGCAGAAAACACAACATCGGCAGCATTCTGGCACTTGGTGCAGGGGCACTCATGATCTCCTTTGCCCGCTGCATGAAGTGGACCATCATCGGTCACCACGTCTCGCACGGAGGACCCCTTGCGTGCCGCAATCAAGTGCGCAAGGAACTGGAACTTTCAGCGCACGTTGGCATGACAGGCTTCGACAAGCTGCAGAAGACGCATCCAAATGCCCTACCATCGCACTACAAGCATCCAAGCTGCATGTTGAAAAACTTGTTTCTTTGGGCAGACCTGGGATCTGCGCTTTCTCAGGCGTGGTGTTTTTGCGATTGGCATCCGTCGCTTCTTTGATTGGATGGACTGGATGCTGCCCCAGGCTTGGGAAGCTTGGATGGTTCTGTGAGCCACATTTTGCATTGCTTTGTTGGGGATGTGAACTGCACGGCAACACGCGAGACAGGAACTAGTCCCGTTCACATGCAGCATTTCCCGTTCACATGCAGCATTTGCATCCTCCACAAACTTGTGCCAGCCGAGTCGAAACACAACAGTACACAATTAGGCACAATTACTTCTGGCCTTCGTAAGATGCTGTCGCTTCCCGACGTTCAACAGGCTTAGCAAGTTGAATGCCCAGCATCTTGTGTCGGGGTTACACCTCATTTGCGTATCTCCTCAAAATGTGCACTTGCACTAGCTGTTGAAGCTCAATATGGAAGCAGCCTATCGAGTCTTGCACTTAGTAGCTACGGCTTCTTCAGGGACCGGGCGTGCAGGAGTTGTCATTTACCAATCAATCTGTCTCCGTCTCTGTCTCTGTCTCTGTGTCTCCCTCCTCTGTCTCAAGTGTTTCAGGTGTGTCAAAAGTCGACCGCGGGCTTTGAGTGGTACGAAGTTCAATCAGTTGACCGGGCCGTGGGGTGGGGGGTCCCCCCCCCCTTTCCCCCCCCCCCCCCGCCCTGAAATGATTGATTTCACGCGGGGGGCGCATCTCCCCCCAAAAGGCTCTGTTGCTTGTTTGCTTGCCGGTGAGTAAAGACACCGGCGCTTGTCTTGCTTTGCTGTGGTAATCTGTGGCAGCCAGAGTCCCAAGTACTTGCACTGGAAGGGGCAGCGGTGGGCTGTTCGCGCATTCAGCCTCAGCAGTCGGAGCAGGTGCATCACAACCACAGTCCACCATCGTCTCAGAGTCCTCACCTATCCTCTCGACCCCCCCCCCCCCCATATCCTCCCATTCCCAGTGCAAGATGCAAGAAGCCAAGGATGTCGAGCACAACAAGGCCATGTCGTCATGGCTTTGGACTTCGTTTTGATTCATTTTTTGAGGCAGTTTGATGCGTGAAGTTCATGTCCTGGCGACTTGGGGACTTGGAGGCGCATCACTACTACCTGTCCGAGGAGAAGGATCCAGACCTTGTCGAGCACAACTTCGAGATCCTCCGAAAAATGCCCCTTCCGATGGCGGGGTCTGCACTTGAATCGGCTACTTGAACTGCCTTTTCGGCTACTCGTTTGCTGTGTCTGTGTGCCGTGGAGAGCAGGCCCTGAAGTATTTGTCCATGATCATGTGGGTCTTCACATGGAAGTTTACTTACTACTCGCCCAACACCTTCAAGGACAGGCCTACTAACGTGGGCACAGCGTTCGAGAGCGAAGCTTTGACTTGGGATCGGGCTCTACATAGGGCTGCCCGCAATGGCAGGAGTTGATGAACTCAAAGCGCGAGAGCTGGCTGGCGCGAAACTGGCCAGCCGCGGAGAGGAAGACTGATCCTGTCCGGATCTCAGGAGTATTTGCAGCACGGCAGATGCAGAAACCGGATCGAGCCGACTTAGCAGCGATCATTCCTTCGATTCCAACAATGCCGGATTCACATACTCGTGGATGATGCGTATTCTGGCGAGCCCCATCGCTCAGCACAGCAACGAGAGCAAGCCCTTTGCTGTTTGGAATTTCGAAAGCTCAATCATCAGCATTACGGCAAAATGCGACATCTTGTAGGCCGACTTAGTGCGCGTCATGCGCTTTTCGGAGGGAGTTTGCCCACGGTTCGTTCTGAATCACGGTCCTCTTGGACTGGAGTCTGGCAATATCTCATTTATGGAAACCAGCGTGGTGAACAGGGGAGACGCCACATGAGCACTATGTTGCAAAGAGGTTAGAAGTTCTGCTTGTGGGAATGAGGCGGCAGGCTGTACTTGCATCGCATAACGGTGCATGCTGCAGTGAAAGGGGTACCTATTTTTGGACCATACTTTGGAGAACTGACCATATAGAATCGCAGACGATCCGGCGCATGGATCCTACATAGACGTAACCCCCCCCCCCACAAACCAGTCTGCGCCGTCCGCCATTGTCCGCCTATCCACCGTCCGCGCTTTTGCAACACACGACGTTCCCAGTGTGATCCAGCGTGCCTCCCACGCTTTTTGTGCTGCGAGAGCTGCAAAGCCGACTCAGGTTGTCGTCTTCGATTGGGTTCGTCGACCTGTGGAGGCTTTGTGTATTTTCGTTTCCATGTTTCCATTCCTGCTCCATGATGTTGCGCGTGCGTTCCTGTCTGTAGTGTTGTTGGCAATGCTGCATAGCACATGTGACTGCATGCCATCTTTCGGGCAGTGGTAGGGCTTTGACCGGCAGGCACTCATTACTGGACGCGTCATGGCTGCGGTCTACTGGATGGTCTTCTTTGCTCAGTGGTGACGTGTCTGCACTGCGACGAGCTCCGCTCTGTCATGCTCTGCCAAGTCCAGATCACGTGTGGTTGAGCTCTGTCAAGCTTCTAGGTTTTATGTGATTCTGCCGATGCTGGCCACGCTGGCACTTCCAGCTGTCATTGCCTCGGGGGGTATACTTTGCAGTCATGTGTTTTCCTCATTTGATATGTCCTTTCGTGCTTGTGTATGGAATGTCAAGCATCTGCAAGAATTACAGCTTGCTTGCCTCCGAGCGGCTTTCTGACTCATGACTCTTGGGCTTGCTGGCCTCGGCTTCTTCCGCTTTTATCTTGGTTCCTTGATCGCTATTTTTTGGGACGGCTCTTGTGTGTGTTAGAGCGAGCTCCATCGGAGCTCTGGCTCGCTATGGTTCAAAAATCAACGCACTGGTGGAAAATCCAAAATGACCAGGTCCCATGCATCGGGGATTTACGAGTCGTTTCTGTGAACTATTTTGCATGTTTCGGATCCCAACGCTGACTTCATCCCACTGTGAACTGTGCTGATGCACTTAGTTGTGGCCGCTACTTCTTGGACAAGCCGGACTTTGGCCCAGCTCCATCTCTCCCGGCCAGGTGCACTTGCTGTGCCATCTGTGACGTCAAGAGGCCCACGTGCACGCCAGGCGGCGCTCCGGGCGCTGGTGACATCTGTGACGGCTGACCTGCTCTCCAATGGACATTCCTTTGCAACCCAGTCGCAGAAGAGCGTATGATAGCGAGCGGGCACCAGGAGACCCTTTGGCAGGAGGGCTTGCAGGTAGTATACAGAAGAATCCTAACTGGCCGCGAGAGCTACGGTGGTGTACACCGTTTTCGGAAGCAGTGTTTCCAACCACCAAGGTCATCATTGCCTGCAATCACTCTGGGAACGACATGTACCGCTACAGCACATCTTGCAAGGACGGGTGCAGCAATGGCTCCAGTTGCTTTGAGCCGCATGCAATTTCCAATTTGACTCGCCGTAACCAGTCTGATGCAGTCCGGATGCAAGTTCTGGAGAAGCACAGGAACCCAAGCATTATGGAGTTTTGTCACATGAGTCTTTAGAGTTTGGGTGCCTTAAAGAGGTCTTCGGGGAGAAAATGCGATAAAAAAAGGTCCATCTGCCCATCTGGCTGCAATTGGTGCGGCTGGTGAACGCCAGTTCGCCTCAAACAGATGACTCAGAGATTTAGATGCCGGTTTAGCTAAACTTGGAGCCATTCTTCATCAGGTTTTTTCGGCTGTTGCAGCTTCCTTGCATCTAGAAGCAATTGTCCAACTGAGCACTTTTAGCCCAGACTCTGTTCTGCGGTTTCTGCGGTTTCATGCTGGAACCCTGGCAGGCGTACTCAGCAGAGTTTCTCTTGCGCTGCAGCTACTCCTCGGCCAACTTCGAGACTGGAAATGTGACCTGTTGCACCCAGTACAGTCACTATTGGTACGGATCCAGGGCATATGAAAGGGTGGGAAAGAGTTCCGCTCCTCCGTGAACGCTGTGTTTCTCTTGGCAGCTTTTCACTGACGCTTGACACTGGAAATCACTGACAGTCGCCCGCAGCCTTCATTCCCTCAGTTCTGTAGCCGGCTGTTGAATCAGCCTGGGAACACGTTAGAACATTGATACTAAGAAGATCAAGGTAGGTGGTGATGCTCTTGCGACTCAGGACTTGATTGATACAGTCTACGGCTGGCTCAATTACCAGGCAGAAACCGAGACCTAGAAGCTGCCTGCATCTGCCTGCTATCTCCTGCTTCCAAACTTGCTGCAATGTGCAAGTGCTGCCCTAGCTGCACAGGTGGAGCATCACATGTTCCCGGACATGACGCCACTTCAGTGCCCCGACAGCTACCAATCCCGGGCACTCTTTCCTCGGCTTCAAACATGTGGACAAGATATGCGGAAGCGTGTGACGTGGAGGTACCGGAAGCTCCAGCCTCTCGTGAAGAGTCGCTTGTCACGAACCTTTCGATGCTTGCGCTACTTCATGTGTGCTTCATGTGGCGCTGTTGGTGATGTGCAATTTCTTTTAGCTGGAGCATGAGGCAATTCCTGCGCTCAATGTATGTACGGTGGGCTTGATGCCCGCATCGGGATAGGGGGGCTGATACACTTTATTGCGGGTTGTTGCATGTTGTTTCCACAAGACGTTTGTCGTGGCCATTGCTGTTTTTACAATGCATACCCTAGAGCTGTACAGACCTTGGGGCCGAATATGTGGGTTTCTGCTTTGGGAGCAGTGGTACGAGGCATCTGCAAGAAACACAACGTCCAGTATGTGCAGATGAACGCTCTGCGACGCACGTGGATGATGTTTCAGGTTGCAGCTTCTCGGCGGATATTGGAGCTTCGCCAAAACTCTTGGCTTTTGTGGCAAGTTAAGCAGGGCTCATGTCCTTGTAGCGCTGTCTAGGTCGGAGACACCGAGATGAAACGCTGCACGGCGACATGCCTGCAAGATCCTGCAAGTCTGACAGCCATTGCATGGTGAAGAGGAGGGTGGAGTAGGGAATAGTAGGGAGGGTGGGAGGGAAGGGGGGGGGCAGAGAAGGGGAGGGAGGGGGGGGGGGTGATATTGTGTTGCATTTTGTTGTGCAGGCCTTGGTGCCGCCGCAGGCCTACAAGAATTCTTTGGAGCCGAATTCCTTGGAGCGACTTGGCATCGCTTGGCTAGGGTAAGAGGAATCTGCCAGAACGCACAATGTGGAAGTTGCTTCTTCGCATGGGTAGAGAAACGTGCTGGGCCCTTGGACTCTGCGGGGTTCATTGCTTTGCATCGCTTTGCATCGCTTTGTCCGTGGGTTCGCTCGCATTACATGATTGCCCTAAGCCGAGCTGAGGGCTCAGGGCTGCAGCCTTAGTTTCTGCTACCATGGTGCAGTCCACACGCAAAATGTCCAAGGCTGCGTTGTCGGGCTTGTTTGGAGCACATTTGCTTTTCGTTTGCAGAGAACTCCGCTGAGGGCTCAAGTCCACCGTCCTTGGCGGTTGAGATGCCGACGTCCGCTGTACAGTGCCGTGACAGCTCAACTCGGGGCAAACGAAGCTTCTCTTTGACTCAGTGTCTGTCAGTCTTGTACTTCTACAGAAGAGGCTGGGAGGATCAAAGAAGTAGAAAATCGTTTGCTGAGCACGTTCGTGGCTGCCACACATGCAAAGGCGCGCGTACATGCACTGAGTGCAGTATGCGTGGTACTCTTGCACGTTCAAGTGATTTTTGTGGCGAAGAAGCAGCGGCAGCATCAACCTGATGCAGTGCCACAAGCTTGCTGCCTGCTGTCACTCGAATTCTGAATCTTTCAATTGCCAGGTCAAGCTGGCGCTCAAGTCTGCAGGCCATTCAAAGGTGACATGCAAGCACTAGGGTCTTCAACGGTCACGCTGCAGATGATGAGCACTCCAAATCCTTCCCTTACCTTAACATTCTTGGCTAAGCTTCTCAGATCCAGCAAAGTCAGAGCAGCTGGCAAGACGCGGTGAAGCAAAATATGCTTCACTTTGCAGATGTGCTAGCCTGACAGCACATGCTGGAGACTCTGAGCTTTCGGACTCATGCGAGAGTGCCACTTTGAGGAGAAGCGGGAACATTCCTTTTTCCGTGCGATAGCAGCAGGAATGGGCGTGAAGGCCATGAAGCCGAAAGATCTGTGCAACAAGCCGAGATTTCTTCTATTTCTGCAGCGCCTGACCTTTCCCAGAAGCGCGCACTTAGTTTTTACTCGATAGTTGCTCCGACCACGTGGCCTCAGCTAAAAAACTCAGTACCGTTTCAGCTACCCGGTTCAGGACATCATGAGGACATCATGTGCATGGCATGCTAAGAAGTGTGTTCTAAGACATGCTGCTTGCGCAGCGTTACTTAGGCAGCAGCGACTGGGAGAAGAGCCCACTGCTCAGCACCAGAATCTGCCCTCTTAGAGGAAACGTGCTCCGGATTCCATTTGGCACGCTTTCTGGGAGCTTTGGAAGGTTGAAGCTCTCTGGTCGCGTGCTGGTGGCTTTGGAGGACCCTTAGAATGGTCTCGGTTTCAGGTTAGGGCGCCTCATACCATCAATTTTAACGCTACGCGACCCGCCTCGGCCCGATTCCGCAGCGCCCAAGTCGCTGGACCCCAAGCAATGAGGGTTGGGTTTAGGGTTTAGGGTTCCGGGTTTATGGTTTGGGGTTTAGGGTTGAGGGTTAGTTTAGGGTTGAGGGCTTAGGGCTCAAGGTTCACGGTTTGGGGTTTGGGTTTTTGGGTTTAGGGTACGGGGGGCAACCCACGGGGACAAGGAACCAGCCCAAATATCACCCTCAATAGTTGCCCTGAATGAATTCCCCAGACCGAACCACAAGAGAAAATCCCTCAGGCCCAAAGTAACCAAACGGGAGGGGAAAGGACTCTTACTGTAACCAAACCCCAAACCCCAGCGACCTAACTTTTTAAGAGCGAACGGACAGCTTCCGGCCATCCTTGAGCCTTGAGCCAAATATGTTCGCGGGTGTTTTACCCTTCCAACCTATACAATGCAACCTCCGCACTCCCCCTGTCCTGAGGTTCCCTCAGGACACCTTTGGAGGTGCAGATTACTTCCCATTCTGGCCAAAAGCTGTTCTTTTCTCAGCAGCCAAACAAGTGTTTAACGTCCATTAGACGGGCCGTAGCCATTGGCTTGCAAACTATGGTTTTACGTCATCCAGGACGAGTGAATTACAACAAAGAACCGTTTCTTAAGACTCTCCGGTCTTTTTCACCCCGAATACGGTCTTCAAATCCTTAAGAGCTGTACACTCTCTACCATCAGGGATTTCCATACCCTTAACAGTAACCGCCATACTTTCAGCACATTGGCTGTTCCAGCGCACCTGTCTTCAGAAAGAGAAAAAACCATTCCATCATCCACACCATCCAGTCATCACTTCTTCTTCTTCCGGTTGGCGTCGATGCTTAGATGAAGTCGCAGCAAAACGTATTCCAGGTCCGACACTGTAAGAACAGGATCCTGCACACACCTTTGAATTGAGGAGATCAACCCCTCTCTCTTCGCGTCTTCAATTGCTTGGCAGGATTGCCCCAGTTCCGCATCCACAGTGGTAGACGCTTGCGCATCCACATCAGAGGAACGATCCTTTTCCTCAGGACCCTTCACCTTTGCCACCTCTTCCTTCTTTGGACTCTGACTTCTCTCCTTCTTTTGCGTCTTTCCTGAAACGCTTGTCTTTGTGCGCGCTCGTGAAGAGGCCTTTTCCTCTCCGGAAACCACCGCCTTGGATGACGGTCCACCCTTCTCAGTATTCACCGGCTTCTTCTTCGGCCTTGGAACCAGAAGAGTATAGGGATCCTCACTTGCCGTAGTCTTCCTCTTCTTCTTGGCTTTTTAAACCTCTTCTTCAACGTTAACCTCCGTCTCCGAGGTTCCAAATACCTCCTTTTTAGCAGGAGTGTCCTTACCGGACTCCCCTTCCAGGGACCTCTTTTTGCCCCTTTTTGGATCGCTCCCTTCTTCCAGGTTAGCTTGTTGGTTCTTCCAGTGGAACCTCGTATGACTTCACTATTTCGTGAAGTTCCAATGAAGACAACATACCAGACGTCCATGAACACCATTCTGCGTCCATCTGTTCAGCATCCCCATTGAATTTCAAGAGTTTGAACACCGGATCCGCTTCTGCGCGGGCCAAATCTGGCTTACCATCAGACATGTACGAAATTGCCTCCGTCAGCAATTCCATCATCCTGGTGCCGTCATCATACCCCATAAGATCCTCCTCATCTTCATCATAACGTTCAGGAGAAATTTTCTTTCCACCATCTCTTGTACCAGTACTCCTCCTTGGGCTATCCCTTGGGGGCGTCCTAGGAGACCTCGGCCTTTGTCCACCCAAAGGATCACCGTGCTCGAAGACGCACTTGTCACCATGACGGCACTTCCCAGACTGAGAAACTGGATACACCTTACACCAGCTGCATCGTGCGAGAACTTGCAGTCCTCTCCAGCGAAGCAATGTCTCCCAGCCACAAAATATTTACACCAAAATGATTGTAGCACCACATCATTCTTTGAATGGATGAATTTGCAATTCTCACCGAATTTGCAGTTATCTTTTCCCCTGCTGAACCAATAGCAGATACCTCTCTTCCTCTTCTCCAGACGCTCCGCTTCGTAACGGTCCATAGGGCGATTCTGCTCTACACGAACATTGTCATGTACCTGAGAACTGCTCCCTTCACCCAAGGTGCTATCAATGTTTGATGCATCGAGAACAGCGGGAAAACCTGGCCTTGGTCCTACCACCTTCATGATTGGTTTCCCACCAGCTCCTGAGCCATGCTGAGCCGATCCACAAATACTGGGCATCTTCAAGAAGGTTTTTCTAGTGCCAATCTTCCGCGCCGTTTTGATTGGATGATTTATTGCTCCAACCTTGGGTCCAGATACATTTGAGCGACACAACCTCCTATACCCGGCTCTATATCCCTTCTTCCAAAGAGCCATAAGAATTCTAGAGGCAGCTACATTCTCCACCTCTACCTTTTCCAACTGTCCCTCACCTTCCGGAACAAACCCATCCAGCACATTCTCATCTGAAGACATTTCCATCTTTTTTGCCTCCACTTGATCGAGGTGATCTTCAGAAATCCAGGGCAAGTTCCTCTTTGAGAAAGTCAAATCATCATCATTCTTTGGTCCTTCACCAGGATATCCCTTCGTGCTGTCGAAAATCCTCCCAGTGTGTCGATCTTGAAGTGAAAGTTCACAGAGCTTCTCGTAAATTTTCTGCAGAAACATCCTTGTGACACTCTGCCTTGATGAACTATCAGCTGCCTCCTCTTCAGGGGATATTTCCGGCGCTTTGCCAGCAGCCTCTTCTTCGTTCATCTCTTCCTTGATACCAGCAGAAGAATCAGGATTCTCACCATTCCCTTGTTCAAAAACCGACTTGTCCTGTCCAGAGAACTCCAGCACACAACCTGATGGATCTACTTCTTGATCATCATCATCATCCATTCGTTTCCAGAGCTCCTCCAACTCATCAGCACATGTCGCTGCTTGAAGGAATTCCATCAGTTGATCCCTTCCGCGCTGCCAGTTAAACTCTGAGTTCACCGCCGTCCCTTGGCCTCCTATAGTAAGGAGCGGATAAACCAATTTTGCTACCCTAACCATAAGTTCAACATGAACTTCCATACCTGGAATACGGCTCCAATCGAAGGCTATTGCTTCCATTGCAGTTCCGAACGTTTCGGTGCTTCGGAATTCATTCTCCAGGCCAGGCGATAGCAATGCTCCCATCACAGAAAGTGGATAATTCCCCGCTGCCGGCAAACACGGATGATCATGGAAAGGATGATGCAAATCACCATAATGTCCTTGATCTCTCCTTTGACAAAGGAGTTTCCCATTTTCCAACCGGAAATTCATTTCATCCACCTGAATCATTTCAGCACATATATTTCGAGCTGAAGCCGCTATTGCGGGCCATATGGCACGATCGGTCAAACCACGACGCATAACCCAATCAGTCGTTGGCGACTGTATCAATCTTTGTGGATCACACACCGGCAATAATGCTGTACCATCTTCCATTGAAGGACCGGCGTTGTCCACCAGCGCCAGGCTCAACTCCTGCTCGCTCGCGCCGTCTGTAGACACACTGATAACTAAATTTCGATCCATCTTATTGGGTCCTTTCGGACAGT